ACAAACTTCAACACAAGCACCACCACCACTGCCACCACCAACAAGAACAACCCAGTCCTTGAAGGTGGCTCTCTGGGCCATCTTGTCTGACAAACTTCAACACAAGCACCACCACCACTGCCACCAAAACCAACAAGAACAACAGCCCACCAAGAAGGTGGCACGCTGGGCCATCTTGTCTACCATCGCACCTGAAACTTCAACACAAGCACCACCACCACTGCCACCAAAACCAACAAGAACAACAGCCCAGCAAGAAGGTGGCTCGCTGGGCCATCTTGTCTACCATCGCACCTGTGAGGTGGCTCTTTTCTGACAAACTTCAACACAAGCACCACCACCACTGCCACCAAAACCAACAAGAACAACAGCCCACCAAGCAGGTGGCTCGCTGGGCCATCTTGTCTACCATCGCACCTGTGAGGTGGCTCTCTGGGCCATCTTGTCTGACACCCTCAACACAAGCACCAGCACCGCTGGCACAAGCATCAGCACCACTGCCACCACCAAAAAACAAGAACAACTCATCTTGAAGGTCCTTGAAGGTGGCAGTGGCTCGCTGGGCCACCCGCGAGCCCCCGCGAACCCCGCAAACCCCGCAAACCCCGCGAACCCCCCGAACCCCGCGAGCCCCGCGTACCCCGCGAACCCCGCGAGCCCCGCGAGCCCCGCGAGCCCCGCGAGCCCCGCAAACCCCGCGAGCCCCGTGAACCCCGCGAGCCCCGCGAGCCCCGCGAACCCCGCGAACCCCGTGAACCCCGCGAACCCCGCGAGCCCCGCGAGCCCCGCGAGCCCCGCGAGCCCCGCGAACCTCGCGAGCCCCGCGAACCCCGCGAGCCCCGTGAGCCCCGCGAGCGCGAGCCCCGCGAACCCCGCGAACCCCGCGAGCCCCGCGAGCCCCGCGAGCCCCGCGAACCCCGCGAGCCACGCGAGCGCGAGCCCCGCGACCCCCCCGACCCCCCCGCGAACCCCCCGCGAAAACCCCGCGAGCCCCCGCGAACCCCGCGAGCCCCGCGAGCCCCGCGAGCCCCGCGAGCCCCGCGAACCCCGCGAGCCCCGCGAGCCCCGCGAGCCCCGCGAACCCCGCAAGCCGCGAGCCCCGCGAACCCCGCAAACCCCGTGATCCCCGCGAACCCGGGAACCCCGTGAACCCCGCGAGCCCCTGCGAACCCCGCGAGCCCCGCGAGCGCGAGCCTTGCAACCCCGCGAGCCCCGCGAATTTCGCGAGCCGCGTGAACCCCGCGAGCGCCGCGAACCCGCGAGCCCCGCGAGCCCCGCAAACCCCGCGAGCCCCGCGAGCCCCGAGAACCCCGCGAGCCCCGCGAGCCCCGCGAGCCCCGCGAACCCCGCGAGCCCCGCGAACCCCGCGAACCGCGCGAGCCCCGCGAGCCCCGCGAACCCCGCGAACCCCGCGAACCCCGTGAACCTCGCGAGCCCCGCGAACCCCGCGATCCCCGCGAACCCCGCGAGCCCCGCGAACCCCGCGAGCCCCGCGAGCCCCGCGAACCCCGAGAACCCCGCGAGCCCCGTGAACCCCGCGAACCCCGCGAGCCCCGCGAGCCCCGCGAACCCCGCGAGCCCCGCGAGCCCCGCGAACCCCGCGAGCCCCGCGAACCCCGCGAGCCGCATGAACCCCGCGAGCCCCGCGAACCCCGCGAGCCCCGCGAGCCCCGCGAACCCCGCGAGCCCCGCGAGCCCCGCGAGCCCCGCGAGCCCCGCAAACCCTGCGAGCCCCGCGAGCCCCGCGAACCCCGCGAACCCCGCGAACCCCGCGAGCCCCGAGAACCCCGCGAGCCCCGTGAACCCCGCGAACCCCGCGAGCCCCGCGAACCCGCGAACCCCGCGAACCCCGCGAGCCCCGGGAACCCCGCGAGCCCCGCGAATTTCGCGAGCCCCGCGAACCCCGCGAACCCCGCGAGCCCCGCGAACCCCGTGAACCCCGCGAACCCTGCGAGCCCCGCGAACCCCGCGAACCCCGCGAACCCCGCGAACCCCGCGAGCCCCGTGAGCCCCGCGAACCCCGCGAGCCCCGCGAACCCCGCGAACCCCGCGAGCCCCGCGAACCCCGCGAACCCCGCGAACCCCGCGAGCCCCGCGAGCCCCGCGAGCCCCGCGAACCCCGCGAGCCGCGTGAACCCCGCGAGCCCCGCGAACGCGAGCCCCGCGAGCCCCGCGAACCCCGCGAGCGATAGCCCCGCGAGCCCCCGCGAACCCCGCGAACCCGCGAAGCCCGCGAGCCCCAGCGAGCGAGCCCCGCGAACCCCGCGAACCCCGACCCCGCGAGCCCCGCGAACCCCGCGAGCCCCGCGAACCCCGCGAGCCCCGCGAACCCCGCGAGCCCGAACCCCGCGAGCCCCGCGAGCCCCGCGACCCCGCGAGCCCCGCGAGCCCCGCGAGCGCAAGCCCCGCGAACCGCGCGAGCCCCGCGAGCCCCCCGCGAACCCCGCGAACCCCGCGAACCCCGAACCCCGCCCCCAACCCCCCGAACCCCGCGAACCCCGCGAACTTGTCAACCCCGTGCCGCCGTCACTTAGCACGGAACAGTCCAAGCCACGGGGTACCCCCCCCGGCTCCAAAAGTCTGCAAGTTTTGCTCTTTTTTTTGGGGGGGTGTTCCCTTACAAAAAAGACACACCCACATAGCTCCAAGGTTCCACTCACGCGAATCCTGGATTTGGATGTTTCAGGCAAGAATTGCTTCGGTCTGGGTGCTGCTTGGTGCGCGGCTCCGGACCAGCCCAGGTTTTTGCCCTACATCTCAAGGAAGCACCTCCAGGAGCTTTGCGTGGCGAATGTTATAAGCACTTGGGATCAGCTTGGGATCCAGAGCACGGGGTGCGTATTTGTTCAACTAGGGCTGCTCCCCCTGGTTGGTTGGTTGGTTGTTTGCTTGCTTGCTTGCTTGCTTGCTTGCTTGCTTGCTTGCTTGCTTGCTTGCTTGCTCGCTTTAGTAAACTGAGGGTGATGAAGCGAGTTGTGGGCTGGTGTGGAAAAGAACCCGCCCAAGACGAATCACATCCTAAAGAAAGCACCCCCAAAGCCAATGCTGCACCAGCTGCGTTCCCAGCACAAATCAGCCCCAAGCCAAACCAAACCCGCGCAAAGTCAACCCGAAACCCAGCCAACTGCAGCCTGGATGTCAGCCCTTGTCGGCTAAATGAGACACAAACCAACCCAAGACTCACCCTCACTGGGTAGCGACCTGGAGCTGTGCGACGTGGCCTGCGCAGATCACGGCCCTTGATGAGAGCCCGCCATCCAAGCAGCGCTTCGAGATCTCCAGCTGCAGTGCTCGGCTTAGCTTCGGATGCGGCATGGAACCATGTGCCGAGCGAGCCGCATGCGGATGACTCCCGCGTAGCAAAACTGACCTGGTCGGTGCCATGTTTGTTTTGGACTGCTGCCAAGGGTGCAACTTTCCGTGACACCAAGAAGGTCTGAAATTGAAAGCAACACATGCAGTCATAGCCAGGGGAATCTCACTTGGGTGCATTGTCGCAAAACAAGTGGCAAGTGTGGGATTTGCAGATGGCCGTGTGGAGCGAACCGTTTTTCTTTGCAGGAATGATGCGTCTTCCCTGGAGTTTGATATGGACCCCCTAAAAGGTGTCCCTTCAAAGGAGACTCGCCTGGAGATGATGCCGTTTCGTGCTCTGGGTTTCCAAGCGGGCGACCCCAAAGTCGGTGAAACGGGGTTCAACTTGGCATTTCTCGGGGAACCGGCACGGCGAGGCAGCAACCCTGTGCGTATCGCGGGGCAGGAGGTCAGCGAAGGGGGCAAGAAGGTTGCGCAGGCCGGGTGGAGGAATGTCCCAACCAACCCGCCCCACTCTCATGCACACGATGCCCAAGAACAAAAGTCTTTTTGGCTATTTGGTCGGATCTTTGAACTTTAACTTGTTGAGAAACAGTGGGCTTTCCATCGGACCCACAAAAAGTTAAACTTTTTGCAGGGGGGTCAACAGCAACCAAGAATTGATTACACAAAACTATTGCATGCAGCAGACCAGTGGAAACCTTGTTTTGTGCTTTGGGCCCCCTCTCACCGAAAGAGCGGCAGGGCATGTTGCCAGGGTACCCACTGTGGTACTCATGTCAAATTGCCAATTTGGTGCCCCCAAAGGAGGCCTTTGATTGGAAGGTCCCTCCTGTCGCATTCAATTTTTGTTGAAGCGACACCTATGCGGAATAAACTGACCCTAACGCCATTGATTTGCCTTGTTGGACCTGATCCAGCCCTACCCGGCTCAACCCAAACCCCACCCCTAAGGGCCTTGTTGTGTCTAACCGTTACCGAAAAGTTCCCAGCTCCCCCTGAAGCCAGCCGCAAATCATGTTTGGGTCCATGTCCATGATTTATGTATTTAGAACCTCCTCAAACAAAAGAACAAAGATACATCCTGAAACAATCAGCCAAGCCCCCGCAAAGTCATGTGTCACTACCAAAAACTAATCCTAAACTTGACTGCTATTGGGTTGGATCTTTAGGCTTTAACTTTTTGGGAGATTTGACTGGGTTTTCCACTAAACCCCCCAAAAAAGCTGTAAACTCTTTGCAGAGGGGTCAACAGCAACAAAGTAAATAACGGGAACATGGCTGTGCTGCAGCCCACATCTTCATCGCTTCCAGGTGGGCGATGCCATCGAGCTGATCGGCGAGGATGGCCAAGAAGTTTGTGTTTGAACCTTGAGACTTGAACTTCCGTTTGCTTAAGAACATGGTGGAGGTTGGGGAACATCCACCCCCTCCGCGCCGAAAAAAATGTGGCCCGTTTGTTTGTCTTGGTTTCTGAGTTCATTGAACTTCTACACTTTTTCGAAAGACCATTTTAGTGGTAGATACCACGTTTGAACTTCTTTTGGGCCATCCACTCAGCAAGTGAGATAATATTTTACACGTTTCCGTGTTGATTTTAAAGGGAATCTATCACTACTGGACATATTTTATTTATTTATTTTGCTGGGGGCTTGAGCAAAGGGAAGCTTGGATGTCATGGTGAAATGGCATGTTTTTTCCCCCTGTCCTGAGCGGTTGGGTTTTGGGGTCAACCACATTTGTTTCCTTACCTTTGGCTTCTGTTGAAATCTGAGATTCAACCCGAACATATCTTGCCATTTTGTTGTTGTATGTTTTTGATTTATTTATGTGTTGTGTTTTAGACTTCTATTTGCCGTGATTTCCCACTGCCAGATGCGGTGTTCTGATGTCTATCTGCATTTTGTGGGAACGGGAGTTTCCTTTCAAGGAGGTTTGTCCAAAAATGTGTTTCACATTTAACTTCCATCTGGAAACAATTCAAGCAAAATTGCTATATATTGCTATCTTAAGGTGTCGATACGAACTCCCTTCCAGTGCTGGAAGTTTAGCTTGTATTGAATGCACTAAGAACAGAAATAATGTAGTGTTATTTCTTTCAATTCTTAAATGCCAAAGAACAATTCAACACTAAACAACAACTCGAGACAACACACACGCAAAGTCAGTTTTTAATTTCCAGGATGGCATGCTCTTATTGAACTAATCATATACATATATGTGAATGCTAGTCAAGTTGAATCACAATTCTAGTTGCAAGTAAGGCCCTATTAAATTCCCAACTCAAGCTAGACATGCTAACTGATAATTAACTCGAAACTACCCTGCGTCACTGCAGGTGCTTTGCTGTAACGTGACCTGTTTTCGCGTTTGCAAAAGGAGTGGTTTAGAACAAACAAAGCGCACGTCAAACGATACCCATCTCAAAGTTCAATACTTTTCGCATGGGGTTGAGCCATCCAGCCGCGAATGAATCCGCGCGCGTGCGGATTTTTCAGGGTACCCTTGTTGGTTTGCAGGGAAGGCATCGGTAAATCCACCATGCGTAGGGCCCCCCTTTGACAAATGCCCGGTTGGGCGTTCCAAAGATGCCGAAGGATTGCACAAGAGCATTGTTCTACCAAACGCAAGCAGATGGGAAGGGTTGAGAAAGATCAGGTGTTGGGCTTGGAAAGCAGGGACGCAGAGGCAAACGTCCGCCATGCATAAAGTTCTCATGATTTGTTTGCCCATTTGGGAGCGGCTGTGGGCTGCCTTTGAGATTGTTGAAAGGGACTGCAGAGGTTGACTGTCGCGCTGAGGGATGGTTGTGTATCCAGGACTTGCTTTGTGACCCGTGCCCTGCGGTTGCGGTCAGCTGTCAATTTGTGGAGCCTGGCTGCGAAGCGCAGAGCCGCGACGCCATGCCTGCAGGACGGGCATGGCGGTCTGGCCCCATACCTCGTCTTCCGCCAGACTCTCAGACACCATGTGATTCACTGGCGAGACAATGAAGAACGTCAGATTTTTCAGGGCGAGGGAGCTCCATTTTTCGATCACCCTAAGACTCCATTTGGGAAATTCACCTCCCCCGGACGCTGAGGCCTGGTGTGGATGGGCTCAGGGAAATCAACGTCCTCCCTGGCGAGCCATGCCACAACGCCGGGCACGGTTCTCCTTGATCGCTCCAAGGAGCGTGGGTTTTTTTCAAGTTGTTTTGGATCCTGGATGGTGCTTGGTGGTTTCCCTTTTGGGGCCGCCTATTCTGTATCAGGATTCTGGATTATTGGGATACCCGTATCATTTTCAACAATGTCAGTGTGCTGCTTCCGGCTGCAGAAGGGCCACCCATGCCATTTGCGCCAATTACTCTAATTCACAAACCGGAATTAAGCGTTCCCGGCTATGAGTTATGAGCGAGTTTTCTCCCCAGGTGCGCTTGTTGTTTGTGCATGAAGTATCCAAGCTGTTGTTTTCTCGCAAGATCCAGTGTTAGAACCCGCGCCTGCGCACAGTACAGTTGAGACCGTTGCTGGCTTTATCGCAGGACTTTCCGGAGTCGGAGGGTCAACGTAGCCGACCGCCACTGGGACGCAGGACGCATTCCAACCTAAGTGTGACCTTCCATGACACGGTTTGGAGGTATGCCCCCTTGATGCCAGATTCTAAAGATGACTCGAACAGCAGAAGTCCTTTGGGTTCAACATGACTGGATCTCGTGCAACATGAAACTGGAAATCAATGGGTACTCGGCACAGGTGTTGTCCACGTTGGCAAGTTGCCACAATGTGAGTGCTACGCGCCATACACGCAAGTATGCAGTAGGCGAGACTTTAACTGCTTGCACCCCAGTGGCAGGATCCCCCCCCCCCTGCAAATTAGTACATCAAATGGGGCTGTTGGCTCGGTTGAAAAGAAAGTGGAAAGGAATGGCGGGGAGCCTGGAAGAACACTCCAGCGTTGCATGCAGATGCGTTGCAGTTTGCCCCATCCTTCAGCTCGTCCATTTGGCTTACCCTACCAAACACACATCCGGGGCTCGATGCCGGGTGCCAAGTCCCCCTCGCCCTTCAAAACAAATCGTTCTTGCTGGGAGAATTGGGCGTGAGAAGAAAACTCCAGGTAGGGGTAGGGGGTTGCCTGGGTTGGAAAGTGTGCAGTTAGACAAAGAAGGGCTCCCCGCGTGCGAGTACTATAGGTATTCCTTAGTTGTTTGAATTGGTTTGGGGGGTTTGAACCTGTTGCCAAATTTCAACGTTCTTGCAGGGGGGGTAACTTGGGATTCCCACCCGGACCAAATTTCAAACCAATACCCTTCCTCCAATTTTCACCAAACCAATTGGAGGGAAGCTGAAGCCGAGGCCCTTCCAGCTGGTCTTGTCGGGCTCCGTGGTGGCTCGCTCCTTCCCCGAAGCCTCCCGCGTCGTCAGTGGCCAAGCCAGCGGCCTCACGGTGGGCCGCGCCCATCAGCGAGAGCTTCATGAAAAAGCGCCCGGGCCCCTGGCGAGCAGCCAGCGCTGGGGACAGCGGGGATTTTTTGGACCCATTTCGGTTTCGGTGCTGCCAGGTGACGCCCTTTTAAAGGATAGCAAAAATGGGCCCTGCTTGTGACAACCTCTCAACTGTGCTAGTGGACAAATTGGGTCTCAGGTTGCCGCTTTCTCTTTTTGTGGCAGGGAATCCTTGTTGAAGTGACAAAGGTGTCATATGGCCCACGTTCGTCTCACAGAAAGGGGGCCAGACGGGAAGGACAGCAATGTTGCATGGTCCCAACCGGCTGGGTCCACCAAGCAAATACAAGATGCTCACATCACAGGCGAGTAAGCATTTGAAGGGTTTTTCGCATCTTATCCTTCTGCCGGAACGCTGTTTGGGATTTGACCGCATTTTGTGTTTGGTTAAGGTTCACCGTTTGAGGTGGAACTTACTTGAGGCTTATGGGTCCCCGGCCCTCTTTGGATAGCTACACACCAAACCGCGGGCACCGTTTGTGATGGCTGGCTTCAGGTTCGTCGATGGGGTTTTGGCGTGCGCCTTCGGGGATGGGCCGTTCAGCCATGGCTTCGGTTCTCTCAACAGACCGCAAGAAGCGGAAAATGCGTTGCGCAATGCCAGGGTATTTGTTTTTTGCGCTCCAAGTTGTCCATCCTGCAAGTTGGGGTTCTTTGTCGAACTGAGTTATTTCAGTCACCATTGCCAGCAATCCATGCTCGGAGGGAATCGAAGAGAACAACTCAACTTCTTACTGCAAAAGCGAAATGGAACTCTGTTTTCCATGTCCTTCGCTGCCAACCGTGGCTTGTTTTGGCCTACGTCTGAAGATCCGCGAGCATGGCCATCCATGAGAGGTACATCAGCCGCGATCACTTCTCCATCAAGCGCGGCTGCCCAGCCTGCCCAAGTCTTTATGTTGGTCTAGCTATCGCTTGTGTCTTTTGTGCCTTGGTGCCGAACCCCTTCTTGGGAAACAGTCGAAACCCTTTGTGAGGGGTGCCGATACAAAGTTTAGAATCAACAGAAGAGCACTGGCTTGCCCGTTGACGCAAAAGCCGGACAGTTTGAGGGCGGGACAGACGACGCCAATGGCCTCACGCGTAGGGCTGGCAAAGACGGCACCTTCTCGGTGGTGGCGCTCAGCCCAGAGCCCAGAGCGTTTAAGCTGACAAACGCTCAAACAAGCTGACAAAGCACCTGAAAAGGTTAAGCTGTCTCTTTGCTTCCCTTAATATTGGAACCTAATTAGTACCCCCCCCCTCTTCAAGGTCTCTTTTGGTTTCCTTAAGCAATCCCCAAAGTGGGTACCATCCAAGCAAGAGTCCGTGGTTGTCTGAGGTTCTGCTTGCTTTGCTTTGCTTTGCTTTGCTTTGCTTTGCTTTGCTTTGCTTGCTTGCCTGTGTGCTTGGGTGCTTGGGTGCTTGTGGGTTTGTGTTTTGATGGGTTTGGTCTGGTCTGTTTGCTTGGTTGGTTGGTTGGTTGGTTGGTTGGTTGGTTGATTGATTGATTGATTGATTGATTGGTTCTTTGTTTGCGCGTCAACATGTTTGTATGCCTGTCTCTTTCTGTGTCTGTTCGTTTGTCAGTCAACCGGCCACCCGCCTATTCGTCGTGGTTAACGCTTGCATTGGAGAAGACACTAAGTGTATCCGCCCAAGGGTACATGCTCTCCTCATCTCTCCTCTTTTCGTCTCACTCCATCATGAGAAGCGATGCTCCAAGACCTCTTGTTAGTTTGCCCACCTGCTTCGATCCTGCACTGGCCCCCAAGAGGCGCTGGAGCGGGTCATCCTTGATGACCTATTGAGGCTTCATTCTACCTTTCGAACCAGTTGCTGTGCGTATCAAACAGCTCGATGTCGACGCGACCCAAGCATCAACACCAGCAGACACCATCCCACCCAGTCGGGGTAGTCCAGTGGAAACTGATGGATTGCTGCGGTCGGTCAACGCGGTACGCGCGCGCGCCTGCGTGTGGCTTGCGTGTATTGTAGTTTGTTGATACGCATGACCATATTGTCTACAAGTTCTTTGCTTGGATTTTGGAGTGGTAACTTGGCCGCTTATGCTTGCAGGTGTAGTTGGCGATTGGGCCTTTCAAGGCGCTTGTAATTAGAAGCGTGAACCGGGCGGGCTGAGGTCAGAACCCCATGTGGCACTCCAGAAATGGCAGGCCTGAGCAGAGAGGTGACCAGTGCGATTGGTTTAGACAAAAAAGGGCTTCATCCATCTTGCAGCAGCTTTGGAAATTGCCAAACGGTGCAGTCATATGCCAACAGGGGCATAACAATTGCTGCTTCTCACGAAGCTTGAGGGCTGTTTTCCTTGGTCAGAAAGTCGTTCTCCCTCGAGTTGGCACGGGGAACAGACATGGGGAACGCAGACAACTATCGCTGGAGAGGCCTCAGACGATCCAGCGCCTCGGCGTGGTTTTGTCACTGCCTATTTGCATGTGTGTTTTCTTGCGCGCTCACCGGCGGGGGCAAGCTTACTATGATGTATAGGAAATTTGCTTGGGAATCCCATATGTCAGGTTTTCGAGTTATGAAGTTTGCAGCATGGTTTTAGGATCTTAGGATGTTGTAGGTGACAAGACGGACCTGTCCTCATTCGTAAGCTGATTGATTCAGTTTGTTTGTGTGGATTATCGCATTTCTGACTGACTGTTCTACAAAGAATACGTGGTGTGACTTTTGAGTGCTATCACTGGCACCAGCCTGATGGGCATTTCTGCAACGAGGGGTCGGGAATCAGATTGTTTTCATGGGAATGTGTGACTGGCAGTTCTATTGTTTTTCGCCGTCATTTTTGCCGGAGCTCGCGAAGCGAACATTTGAACTGCTCCATGCCTCGGGGCTGCGATTCCAGGGTTGTTTGGAGTGTCACCCTGGATGGACCCCAATGGACTTGGGCGGCAGAAATTGTTCGCTGATACCGAATAGTAGATGTTTGTTGTCAGCGGGATTTTGTGCTGCTTCCGTGCTTTGCCCAAGCGCACATGCAACAAGTGCTTGACACTGGATCAAAATGAATGCTCTTGTGGTCGGTCCTCTTGGTCTATAGTAGCTCTTGAGCTTTTAAAGACGCATTGCATCAGAACTTACTCCTTGCCTTGTAGGACGCTCAAATTGGGAACGTCTGTCATAAGCAAGTCGCCAGCGCATTCTTACCAGATCCATCCCTATCCAAGGCCTGGACAGCTGCCAGTCCGACTGCAGGATGGCGACCAAGTGCTTCTCTACACAGGCGCAAGATGGCGCGAGAACTTGTCAGGGGCCTCCCCCATGCTAGACCTTTGTCCTAGGAAGAATCGCCGTGCGATTGGCTTAGACCCAGGGCCTTCTTTTTGGGTGTGTTGTTTTTTTCTTGCACTGGGTAGGTTCCTTTGAGTGGGCCGCCAAAATTCGTTCTCGAGCTTGCAGCTCTGTGCGCGGAATTGTGTTGCCTCAAGCAACTGTCAGCTTTTTCCAGGTCGCTTGGTCAAGTCGAAATGCACAGATTTGCAAGGCAGACACCCTCCTCGACGGCCGGCAAACAGGTTCAATCACTCGTGCGCTACGGACGTTTCACCACCGCTTGCATTGCTCGTGCGTGAAGCCTTCGCCAGGAGCCGATGATAGCTCTCCAGAAGGCGCCTATCGCGGGGGGTTGGCACTTGAACTTGCAGCAAGGCAGGTTTCTTTGAAGGGCACTCGTCAACGAATATTGGGGGGTTGATCAATATGCCTGGCCGCCAAACGAGCATAGGTATTTTCCCACTTAATGGGGACTATGATGTGTTTAGGGGTTTTTCCCAATGGTCATCCCATGTAAAGGACCTTTTGATCAACCGGTGTTCAGCAATCTTGCTTGGAGTCATAGGCCTCGTGAACCAGTGTTTGGTGGCGGTTCGAGTGCGTCAACCATGCATCCGGTATGTGTATGCCTGCGCCGACGAGCATCTATACCAGACTAGTGAAAGATGAGGAGCTGCGTGTCGCGTGCACAGGATGAAGGAGCACAACCGCATTTCTCTCTTCAAGGCCTCCAACTGAATTGCAGGACATCATTTATCCATCATTTGTCTTTACATTGTCGTTGGTTGATCTGCTGTTCTTTTCTGGAGATTGGCAAGGGCGCTTCGCATTGTCTCTGGCCTTAGCAGAGGTCCTAGCAGAATGTCAAACTGGGCTGGATTGCACTTCGCAGCAAGTGGTTGTCACATGGTTGCTGGGCTCTTGGTGGGGCGAGATGTGATGATGTGCAGACGCTCGAAGTAGTGTACATTTTTTTTCCAAGTCCACCTGCCCAAAGCACGTTGGCTTAAGAAGCGATGCTGGTAGCAAGATAGCCGATGCCGACTTTTGGGCCCCGACACAGCCGACTTGCATCAGCCTATGCTTGGCGACGATGATGTCAGTGAATATGAGTCTCCAATCTCTGACGCTTCCCGATGCAATGCCAAGTTCAACCTCAGAAGGTCATCTACGAAGAGCCAAGCTCTATGCGGAGAGCTGGCTAAAATGCCACGCAATGCATGCTTGTTTCGTTTTGCCAGACTGCAGGCATCAGCAACGTCATGGAAGCAACCTGCGTAGGTGAGCCACGTGTTTCTATTGGCTTGAACGTAATGGCGTGATGCAGCTAGGCGAGCTTGGTTGGGATTTGTTGCGCGGGGCCAAGCTGCTAAACTCTGCAATGGCGCCAATCGCGTAACATGCTTGACTCGTGTCGTGGCGCTTGGGTGCCATGTTTCATCGAGGCAGCCACATGCACACCTCGTGCAGAAGTGTGGGCCGGCTGCCACAGCTTTCGCCGTAAGAGAAGTTCTGCGTCGTTTCTTTGGGGGTCCCCTGGATTTTCTGGTAAACATGGCATCCCTCTTCCCATCCCCCATTTAATTTAAAGGATTTCAGCGATGGGGATCCAACTTCAATTTTGGAAACCGTTTTTGGAAGTCAATCTTCCCATTTCCCCATTTTTGGACACCAACTTCAATTTTCCAGGATGGGGTGAGCTTCGACCCACCTCGCATCGCCTTTCGACCGCGTCAGTCTCGTCTCCAGGCCCCGGGAGCCTGGGAACTCTGCGATGGGTCTGTGCCCAGGGGGTGTCGGGGGTGTGGGTGGGAAAGCGGCAGGCACGGGCCAGGGGCAGTGCGTTTTAGAAGTCGGTGGGTCGATTCCTCAGATACATGGGCCATTTTGAAGACCACAGCTGTTTTACAGGACATTCTTTGGGCGAATAGAAATTGGAGGGATCCTGTTTTCGCGCCCGTGGTTTTAAGGGGGGCATTGGAAGGTGCAGGTCCTCGCAGTTCCTGTTGGGACATCCACAGAAGCTTTCCTCGTTGATGAAGCGGGTTTCGCTCAAAAACCGTGATCCTTCTACTCTGCTCGGCTTCACGCCCATCAGCAATCTGTGCCAGTGGACCTTGCACCTGCAGGTGCTCAGTTTGAGCACACATGTTTGTTTTTTGAAGATTCCATGCTGGATGCGTTGACTGCTGGAATTGAATGAGAATCTCCTCCTTCTCCTTCCCCTCCTTTTTCTCCTATTCCAGCTGACCTGCTTTGAAAGAGCATGCTGTGTGGCCCACACGCCCTGGTCCCTGAGAAGAGGTCGTGCTTTGGCAACAGGTCCCAAACTTCGGCCAACATGTCCCGAAATTCGGGGCAGACATGACAGAGGAGCCCATCCAACAAGTTCACAAGAACACGTTGTCGTTTGTGTGTGCGCCTTCTTTGGTATCTGAAAAGGCCCGCGGCGGGGGGTTGCATTCCAACACGTACAGAAGAGGCCCAGCAAAAAGTAAGCTGCTTGCAACGAGCAGAGGGCAAGAAAGGCTTGAAGGACATGCAGCTGGCGAGTGCCTAGGTTTTAAGCCCTGTTGTCTTGATTTTCTCCAGGGGCAGTTGCAATTGTCACTCGTGCCTAGGTTTTCCAGGCTCGGTGAGGGGCCTTTCTGCCGGGCTTCGCGCACAGCGCGGCTGCGCTCACGTGGAGTGATGGAAAGTGCGTTGCGATGCTGCCCACGGCTTCGTCCGGTGTGGGGCGCGGGTAAAGGAGATTTGCTTTGCATATGGCTGGCAGGCGCAGGTGCAAGCCATAGGGCAAGGAGAACCCTGGATGCATGTGATAAACCTCGGGCGAGGCGTCTCCTATCTGAAGCAAAGTCCTTCACTTGGTCAGGCCTCCTTAAAAGATCCATTTAGGCAATGTTCAGGTGGACAAGGCATCCGGATCCCTGTTGGTGAAGCACTCATCTGACTGCAGCTTTGCTCAATGTACAGACCGCGAAGCGAGCCTGTCAGTGAGCATGGCAGACCCTGGAGGCGGGGTTTGTGTTGATACTGTGGATGGACAAAATCCACTTCGCACCACTTTGAAAGCATTAGAAACCATGGTTTGTTGTTTTTTTACAGGGGAATCATCATTCCATGGATTTTTAGGTGGTGCAGGATTTCGCCCATCCACAGTATGATCGCCGAGGCGTGAAGCAGGCTCTGATCGGCCACCGGCTTATGCAAACCGCAGTGAATAACCACTTTGGGGCCTTGCGCGCATGCGTTTGCATGTCCATAAGTCACTGAGGCTGTCAAGTCGTGTGACGCTACGGGTTGGGGAGTTCAAGAGCTCTACCCCCAAAGTCATTCGTGAGACAGTTATTTCATTTGTGGCCCATTTGTGGCTACCTCTTTTCTGAAAGTCTCAACACTGCGGCATCTTTTGAGGAAGGCTTTCGGCTCTTGGTCCAGCGAGTCCAGCTCCGAGTGTCGCCCGTTTTTCCCTGTGGCCCAGGCGCGCCAGGGCCGCCAGGTCCAATGAGCCCTGGGTCGCTGATGGTGCGGAACGTCTCCCCCCGCCCCACGAGCCGAGGCTCCAAGGCCGGATCCACGCGTAGCCGTGGGGCCCCCCGACGCAAGTTTCGAGAAGCGGGATGAACTTTTTTTCAGGTGGGTCGCCAGAGACACGAACCGAGCCCTGAGGCTCAAAACGATGGCATTGATTGAAACCTGAAGATTGAGACATGCCATTCACTGCCTTCATCTTTGAAAGGGTGACCGTAGGTTGTGCATTTGCTTCCTCTCAGGTAACAGGGCCCGCGTGCTTGATATGGAATGTCCTGCACAAGAGTGCATGCATGCGTAAATGCTACTGCCATTCTCCTTGTTTGCTCCTGTCGTGTTTGCCTTGTATGCAGCCACTTAGACTGGCATGATGTTCGGGGTAGTCCTCAAGATTGCAAGCTTTCTGGGCTTGATCCCCGATTCTTTTCGATCATCGCTTTCAAGTGCGCGGTTGCCTCGTCTTTTGGGTTTCCCGGAGGACCCCTTCCGAAAAAGTCCCGTTTCGATGAACCGATGAACCCGGTTCCTTCCAGACTGAGCCACCTGCACCTTTCGGCGGCCCAAAAACGAACAAGACTCGGCCAGACACCATCCAGCACGCCGGGCTCACCGAAGAAACCGCTGAGGAGATATCCACGGGGGTGGGGTTCTGTGCCTCGTGCGGGTGGGTGTTGGTAGGGTTTGTGGTGGAAAAGGTATTAGGTTTTTGGCGGGGGCTTGACACACAAGGGGGTTCCACCACTTCATCACCCCCCCACCTCATGTTCAGAAGAATCATGAAGGGAAGCCAAAAGGGCATAGATCGTTTTCGACAATCTGGAACCGAACCCTCTACTCGGAGTGTTCGGAGTTAACGCGGCAAGCGTAGCAGGAGGTGTCTTGCATGCGCATTTGATGGGCTTGTGTTACGATATGGCTCTGAGTGTAACTTTTTGTGCGGAACTGACTGCATGACAGCGAGTCATGCTCCCATGTGGCTGTGTGTCAAGACCAATGGTACCATTTTGGGGTAGGTGCACCACCCATTTTAGTCTATTTTAGTGGGGATTGGTTGATGTTCACTGGGGGTACGATTTGGATTTTGACCCATGGCCATGTTGTGGCGTTCCGCTTGGCTTAGCTAACCCGACGCGATCCCAGGCTCAAGCAGTCCACAGATGCCATAGCCTAGTGTAGGTGTGGCCCGAGGAATGCTTGGCTGCATGGCTGCATTTGTTGGCTGTCATGGGCTGTGTTATAGAGCAAGCACTGGTGAAACCTGATTCACGTCTTTTTTTGTTGTTTGTTCCGGAAGCCATTGGCTTCCGGTGCATCTGTACCAGAAACTTTTGAATTGCACTGATACTACTCCGTATCTTACCAAGTGATTATTTCAGTTCTTCTCTTCAAAAAGACACGCTGTGTAAGCTGGGCCATTTTGCTCTGCTAGGGTGTCCCACGGTATCTCCTCCGTGCGACCGCATGTTTGTTATGGCTGAATCAGCGCAACCGCTACGCGGACGTCTTGCTCTCCGCAGCTCTCAACGCTCTGCCGCCCGAGTTTGAAAAGTGCGTCTTGCGCCAAACATCCGCAGACCCCACGAGACTGATCTCTGCGCAGGGCCCAGTGCTTTTCTGTGGCTCACTAGGCCGCACTGCACGCTGCCCGCGATGTTACTCGCCTCGAAGCCTCCAGCAGCTGGCGCGCGCTCGCCGTATGGGTGCGTTGTACTTGTGCGTACGTCCGTGCCGGGAACTGTGGGCTACCGGCGCGGCATGCGTCGACAGCAGCGCGCCTTGCAAGTCTACGACGCGTTTACACCCTTGTCTACTCTCCCGCTCTTGCACAGGTCTCCCAAGCTCGAGCAGGCCGTACATGTGTCACTTTGCAGCGCGGCATTCCAAACGAGCTTTTTGCCTCTTTCAAACAGCTCCAGCTCATGTCGGGGCGTTTTGCCTTGCGAGGCCTAAACCATTTTTTGATTACAGTGTTGCCACATCAAGAAGGACCAGTTCCCCCCGCAAGCGACCCGTGATGCCACCACGAATGCTTCTGGTCCCTCCTTTCTCAAGTTTCTTTGCTTCTTTGTGGGTTTCTTTCTTTCTTAGTATTGCCAAGACGTCCTGATTGCTCCGCTGATCTCGGTAGACCTGCAAAACAGCAACAATTGAACTAGCAACCACTCAGCGGCCCTGAGCGAGCCTCAGACAAGACGAGCAAAGCAGACCGTTGCGGCCAAGCGCCGGAGACTATCTTTTCTGACTGGCAGCGTTACACGGGATGGGTGCGTTTGTTTCCCCATCAAAGGGATTGCTTGTGGGAGCCCACTATGAAGATAGACCTTGCTGATTGCACAATTCTTGATTCTTGATTCTTGATCCACAGCCCGCACACCTACGTCAAGAGAGGTTAAGTGAGGGGGCGCAGGGCTGCGCGATACCCCTAGCGGATGCTAGGTCGTTGCAGCGCACTTAAGGTCAGTTTCCCAGCGCTGGCACTTTTGGCCTGGCAGGGACCATGAATCACCAGAGAGGATTTTTCTGTGGCCCGCCGAAAGGCCCGGTTCCGCTGAGCGCGTTCGAGCTGAGCACCTTGATCGCGAAGCGCGGCAAGAGCCAGGAATGGGCGTTCCTGTGTGGCCTGTTGGACAGGACTCAGCCTGTGGGTCGGGCGCACCCCCACGGAATTGGGAAGGGGGGATTTATGTATTGTGAAGTCCGCTTGGGGATGTGAGGGGGTTGATTGTTTGTGGGCGCCAGAAGAGGACAGCCGTGCAGCTGGATGTGGTGTGCTTGAGCGCTGCCATGCAGCTCTTCAACCGGGTCTGTCAATGGCAGAGGGCGCTGGCGTTGATCGGCCTCATGGCCCACAGGTGGGTGTCAAACAAAGATGACCGGTTCCGTTTGGGACCTCTGTGGTTGAAGGTGCCACCTGTGCCAAGAAGGGGCCCTTGTGGGCCCACAATTTTGACACCCAGGTGCATCAAGCCCAACGAAAGGAGCTACACCGCCGGAATCAGGGCATGCGAGAAGGCTTTGCTGTGGCAGCCAACAATGCAGATGCTCCACCGCATGTCCAGCGTCAACTTGGAAAAGAACCACTTCGTTCAGTCTGCAGCCCTCAGTACCTGCGCGACTCGCTGAATTGGCATGTGCTACTCCGAAAGCGCCCATTGTAGCCCCACCAGATACCGCATAAGAGCACTAGGGCTGCGCAAGACCAGCACAGGAGAACCCACAGCTTAAGATTTTGCATATGTTGCTCCTGGCAACCCACTCCCGCCTCCGTAGTCTTGTTGTTTGTGACAGGCATTTCGGGGCTATCTGTTTTCGACCGGCTATTTGGATAGGATATGTTTTCACGCCATGTTAGTTGCTAGGTTGGATTACTTCTTTTTTCATTTCGTATTTACGACTTGAGCTTGAAGACGGCCACTTGGATGGGCTGAGGGCTAACATTCGACGTTTAAATGAACTCTTGCCAGTGATGAAGCAAACTCCAGTGTGTGAAACTGGCACACGATAGGGGCGCCTTAGCAATACAACAACGTGGAATAGTTGCCTCCCACATTGTTATTTGAACCACTCCTTTGCGGATCCGTCTTTTCATAAGACCCTTTTCGGAATTGTGTTGTTGGGGGAGTTCAAGGGCAAACCTTCGCATTCTGATGCATTCAGTGGGCTTTCCTCATTAAGGCACGCTGGCTCTCAGGATTCCACTGGCCAATGGAGCGTCGCCGCGCGCCTCGTGGACACCGCGCCTTGCAATGCGGTGGTGTTCAACTCGGCACTGGCGGCCCTGGGGCACAGCTGGCGCGCAGCCCTGTCCCTGAGGTTCGTGGTGGTTTGTTGTAGAATTTTTTTTTGTGTGGCTGACTTTGGAGAACTGTGGGGGTGATACGTTTCTTGACCCGAGGTAGACTTCCCGATAGTTATTCAACCTCAGAATCTGGGATCGGAAGCCTTTTGGGCAGTGTGCAGCCAGTTTGCCAAAGAGCCCAAGTCATGATAAAGCCCCCAGACTCCGCATAAGCACTCCGGCTTGCAGACGCTGCAATCGGCCTACATTACGCATTTGAGGCTAGGATCGAGTGTTTTCTTGGGCATCAGCTGGGGTTCTTTCCCTTCTGCCCAGCACTTGGGGGAGTGACTTTGGCAAACCACAAAATGCGGCCTACAGGATGACTAGGTCCCCCAGTAGTGCCCTTTTACCCTTTTCTGGAGGAGGTTCCCCTACTATTCTAACCTCTCTACTGGAAGACCTAGATGAGATCGAGATTATTCTTTTGGAGGGGGGGAGCATCAAGCGAGCCACAGGCGGGGGCTCCAACTGGATTCCATCAGCTACAATACCCTGGGCACAGCTCTGGAGCGGAACAGCCGCTGGCAAAAGAGCGTCTCCACGCTTCTGAGCTCCAACCTATTGGATCAGGCGGGGAAGAACCGAAACCAACACCCAGGGATAGGCTGGACAGCAGGAAAAAAACGGTGCCGGTTTTAAGGAAAGGCCAATAGGTGTTGATCACACGGATGGCCAACCCGTCGGCGTTTGAGTTGCGTGTCTGGTGAGGTCCGAGGTTGCATCATGTTGTTGCGATTTCCGGCACGCAGAAGGCGTAGCCTTTAAAGAGCCTTTCCTTAAACGCGGCGCCGAGTGTTTGCAATGGTTGGCACGGGAGCCTGTTCTTTGGTTCGTGTGTTCGCTACCCTTGGCATCGTTGCTTCGTTGCGCTGAGGCCTATGAGAAACGTCCCCTCAAACCTCTTTGCACAGGGCCGCCGGGCGCTACTGCGACATTTGCTTCCCTCTCAGTGATCATAAGGGATCCAGATCCACCTGTCAATCCCCTCATCACCTTCATTGCCAAGTCGGCTATAGTAAGGCTTGTTCTGCTGGGGTAATGGTTAGGCCGTTGGGTCTCAAAAGACTCTTGCCAGGTCAAGTGGCATGACACAGATCAAAGTCAGCAAGGCTTAAACCGCGGCGACGCTGCACGAAACAGGGCAGATCAGAAACACCGCCAAAGAGTCAATAGGCCCTGAAAGCCACAGCCCCGTTTTTCCTCGGATGCATCCACCAACTCCGCCTTCCGAAAATGCGAGCGGGGAGAGGTGGGCCGCAACTGCGTGGCCCGGTCGCTGGGCGCTCGGTGGCAGAGGGCGCTGGGCTTTCTGACGTGGAGCGCGGTGGGCTGCGGCACGGTGATGGGCAGCTGCCACTGGCGGCAGGCCCAGCAGCTCATGCGGAACATGCGCCGAGGCCGCAAAACCACTTGCTGGCGCGATAGGCAGGAGGGAATGACCCCCCCATCAACCATTGGGTATGAGGAAATGGCACATTGCTTCTCAAACTTGCTGGTGTGAGGGAATGACCCCCACAAACCATCCTTGTGATTTTCTTTAAGGGAATTTTCAGGTTCATCCCTCATTCCCGGCTGAGCACCAGCAAGAAAAATGGACCCTCAAGTCAAGGTCGACAAGAGGTTTGGGAAAATCGGACTTTGGGGGTTCGCTGAAGCGCCCTCGGATTGACCTGGACCTGGCCACTGCTCTTCTGCCTTTCCTCTGTGGACCTGTCTGGCCAATAGGACTGCAATAGGAAAAAGGCAGTTGCATTTTCTAATTGTGCAGGGCTGGAGAGAGACGTGAGTAATCATATGGGGCTTTGTGTTCTTCGGGGAGGTTGAAGTGGGGGGGTACCCTTCACGAGCTTGTCAAACCTTGTTTGTTTACAACAACTTGGAATAACATGTTTTGCCGTTTCGGGCTAGCTGTTTTTATTATTATTATCATTATTTTCTGGAATGGCAACCCGTGAGACTATGAAAGGAGCTAGCATTGGCAATAAAGAGGCGTCTTTAATCAGACATGGTGCCATCATTATTCCTCTTGGTGCTGCAGGTGGCTCTCGCCCTTTGCGGTCTCACCTAGGTTGTGTTTGCATGTGGGTGGCTCGCGTGCTTGCACCTCAGCTGTGCCACGCTGTTTTTTGTCCGATTGTCTATTTTGCTTTCGATGTCGTCGTTTGGTTGGGAAAGAGCGCGCGCTGCAGGCGTGCATGTTTCGTGCGACGAGTGCACTCGCAGAGCCAAACATCTCGTTTGTTTGTTTCTTCGGCTCCCTTGTTTTTCAACCCGGCGGCGTTCAAGCTGAACACTGGTTGCTAGCGCAGTTGCGCGCCCGCGCGCGTGTGCGATATGCTGCTGAGTCTCTTGGTAGCACGGTCTGTCATCAGGGAGGGCGCAATCTTGGCAGATCTTTCGATTGAAGGAAGCCGGCCTTCGCTTCCAGGTTCTGATCGAAAAGATGGGCCTGCCAACTCCCCAACAGTTCACGGAAAGCTATTCAATCATATTGTTATTCAATCATATGGTGTGTATTACACATATTACAGGAACTTGGGCGTCCATCCTTAGCGCGATGCGTGCCGGCAAGTAACAACCTCTCTCCGCTTTGCAAGTGCGGAGCCTAGATGTGTTTGATTCAAGCGCTCTGTCTGCTGAGGCTTAGTTGCACCAGGGTTCCATTTTTTGACTAGGACAGACTTACACCCAAAGGTTCATCCATCTTAGGGTAGCCAAAAAGCGGAATCCTGAGTCGCACTGTCAAAGGCAAGCTGCTGAGCGTGAGATGCTTAGCCATCCTGATGCCCACGTCGCAAGCCTCGCGGTTGACGCACAATCAGACTGGGTCAATGTTTGAGTCAGCCGCAGCCGCAGCTGTAGCGGTCTTGCTTCTACAGCACTTGGTATGTAGCGCTGGTTCTTCTTCTTCTTCTTCGCTGCTCTGCCCAGGGAGTTGTACTCCTGTCACCGTATGTCAGAAACTTAATTGTCAATACAAGACGTCCACCTAGGGGCAAGTCTTGCACATCCCGCAGTGGCTTTGGTGCTGCTTGGGTTTGATCATTGCAGTTATGGCGCGCAGCATTAGGGCTGCGTGTGCCTGTCGAGCGCGCTTTCGCCTCAGCCCCAAAGTGCAAGGCATAAGGAATTTAAGGCATGTGGAGCTGGGGGTCTACAGCAATATGCTTGTTTCGACCATCGCTATGAAGGCGCTCTTTGCAGGGGGGGGGGGGGTGCTGTGAGATTCCATTGTCTTGACTGGCGGCGACTAGCGAGCTGATTGCGTAGAGCACGCAGCCCATGAATTCAACCACCCTTGAGGGTGATGTTATGTATAGCCTGGTTTGTGGTGACTGCAGTTTACTACCTGCCTAGGTTCACATACAACCCAGAAAGCCATCATAGAGGAAGTCTCCTCTTGGGATCCCCTTCCCTGCGTATGTTCATGCCCTTCCTGAGGCTGAGCCGGGGTCTGGTGCCCAACTCCATCATCCACGGAGCACTTCTCACCACCCTGAGCCAGGACGGCATTGATTTTACTTGGACGCCTGTACTGGACACATGTTACAGGATGTAAAACCTACCAACATGGAACCTCACCGGGGCCAAGATCATTTTTCTCCAATCGAAGCCCTACGCCTAGTTTCTGTCTTGTTGGAAGGGCATGTTTACCAACCTTTCTTGGCAGCAATGTGGTTAGGTCTTTCATCGTTTACTCTTTGGGAAGATGTGTTTGCTCCACTCGTCAGGAAAGAGTTAGTTGCATTTTTGCACGTGGGGCAATACTGTGGATGGACGAAATCCTGCACTACCTAAGAAAATCTGGGCGAATGATTGCCCTGTAAATACCACCAAACACTGGTTTTGCGTGGTTTCAAAGTGGTGCGAAATGGATTTCGCATTGCCTTAACACCTCGCCAGGAGGACTTTTGGAGCCGCTCCTTGCATCAGCTGCGGCGGCGCGAAGTCAACGGAGTGGCCCTCAACACGGTCTTGACCTCTTGCCGCAGAGGCCGGGCGCTGCTACATGGTAAAGTGACCCTCGCAGAAGCAAACATGGGACCTGAAAGGCCAGTTTCCTCTGGGGGAAATGGTCCTGGCTGACTTTCCACCCTTGAATTTTTGGGAGCGGGGCATGAACTCCATTGTCTGCTAACATGAGCCTTGTCAGGTTCCAGGCTTATGTTTGGGAGAGTGCCATGAATCCGCTGATCCTTTGTTGATTGGGCTGGATTCGTGGAGTTGTTCCCCCCTGGCTCTTGCGCAATATGGTTTTCTCCACCCTAGCCTCACCAAAATCAAACCACGAGCTAAAGGAAAGCTAAGGATTGATGGCTTGTGTTTGCTGATTGGTTTGTGCCATCAACCGCAGGAGCGCCATCCGCTTAACCCGGAAATAATTTGTGTGCGTATCTGCGTTTTGTTGGAGACACTTCAAAAAATCGGGTTGAGACACCAAAAGGAAAACCACGCATGTCTCATTTTTGGGGAAGCCCCTCTTTTGACACATGCCCATATCATGCAATGCCACCGTTTGGGGGGTCCCTCTATTTTGACCAAACAGCCGGTGCCACGTGCGAAGTGTCTCCCTAGGCGGCCGCTGGCCGCTGTGCCTCTTTTTGCTCAGCGGCATGCCGATTTGGCGCTTGCGCCCGGATCACATCAGCGAGAGCGAGGTTGTGACCCTCGGCCCCCAGACGGACCACAGGCGTTTGTCCAGGATGCCCTATATTTACAGATAAGTCCCCTTTAGGTGGTTTTTAAAGATCAGCTTTTTTTCGGGGCATGTCAAGTGAGTTTCCTTTTGGTGGGGTGATGTTTAAGGAGGACATGTAAGAAACCCCGCTTTTTGGTTGGAAAGGGCTGAAGTCGATTTGGCTGAAAATGCACCGGTCTTACGTTTGGTTCTGATTTCATTTGCAGTGCCGTCGATCCTTCCAAAAGGCGGGAATCGACCTTTGAAGCTTTCCCCGGCCCAGTTCTGGCCTACGATTCTGCGAGCAAACAAGCAAATGCACTCAGAGGAATGAGCCGCTTTCCTGGCGAAACAGTAGGAGAACCATCCTTCTTGCGGGTTTCAGTCCCATCTCTTCCCAAGGAGCGCGTGCGAGTCAGGGGGTGAATGGCAAACGACCTTGGCCTTGCTGGAATCTCAGGCTGGGAAGCATGGGAGCATCGGTCGCACACAGGGCAGCCCTGGGTGTTTATCAAAATGGTGCTACCATAAGAGTGTTGCTGTCCTTTTGGTTTCCCCCTTAAGTACAAACCAAAATAAAATGGGGCCCACCATTTTGAGAAACTCCCGTCATTGGCTGGCTGAGAAGCGAATGCGGATGCCACTTTGAGTTTATCGAAGGAAGCATAGCCTTTGTCCAAAGGCTGCCTGCAGCATAGTGCGCAGGAGCAGGCAAACATCAACCACCAACTTGCTGGGCCGCAGGATTCGCCAATTGGGTTGTTGACGGGTCAGTTCTCTCTGCAGGCACCTGGCAACATGGATGAGATGACGGTGGAGACGGCGGGGCGCGAGGGGGCAGTGTTCGATGTTTGTGGCAGGTTTGGGAAGAAGGCAGAGGATATTCAATGGAAGCCAACCACCAAAAGATGAGCTCACAGCCCAGAGGAGAGTTTCTTTCATATTAGCTCCACCATGTTCCACCAAACCTGGGCCACTCATCCCGCGACAGGTGCGGCGAGAAGCCCAGCTCTGGCGCCGAGGCGCAAGGGATACCGCTGAAAACGCGTCGCTGGGAGGCCCTACGCCTTTGGCGCAGATGGGTGTGCCCCGGCTGCAAGAAGGGGATCAAACGCCCCAAGCAGGACTTAAGGACGGTCTCAGATTTCAGCGGTCGGATTCTTGGAGACTCCAACTGGCGGCGATTCCCGGCGCCAAGTGCTGTGTGTAGCGCGCGAAAAACGCCCATTGCTTAGAAGCCGGCTGAAGAGCTGCCGGGGGGCCAACTCAGGAAGCGTCGCCCTGCTTTACTTGGGGGTGCAATTTGCATGTTGAATTGAACTGAAGCAAAGGGCATATGGGAGGAGCAAGAGTTCTTTTAAGAAGCAAACAAGAGGTATTTGCTTCCAAGTCAATCCACAAGATTGAATTTGGGGTTGTCTTCAACGGAGGGGGGGTCCTTTTGGTCTGTTTTCAAAGCAAATTTTGTCACCACTCTTTTTGTACCCATACCCTGGTCCCATTCAAAGGGAAGCCAACCTATATTGCCTCGTGACTTCCCCTGAGAAGGTGTTGAGGAAGACACGGAATTGCCCCGGTGCCAACCAGCCAACGTTTGGGCTTCACTCATAGGTCGATAGTTGCGCCGTTCGGATTTGCGGAGGATGCAGCCAGCGTGTGAGACGGGGCCAGTGGGGAAGACATGTCAATGAGTACTAGGCTGTGACAGGCGGCGATGAAAAGTGACAAGAAGTGACCGGAAACGACAAGGAGAAACAAGGACAAGACGTAGCAGGACAAACAAAATTGCAAAAGGATGCCTGTAGGGAGCAGACTTCACAGGCAACCTTGAGATCTCCATGCGCAGGACTTGTTTCCATGTGAAATGCATGCCCCTTCGGGCCCAGAAGGCTAATTGATTTCAGTTGTGGCTTCGATAGAACTCATCTGACGAACCTTGGCTGCCTTGGCTGAGCTGCCAGTGCTCCATGCGAAGCAGCTGGCAGCACCCAAAAAGGATGTCATCATTTGGGCAGCGCGTCACTTGTGGCAATGGAAACAACCCACAGAAGAGTTGTCCATCTAGTGATTCCAGAGATCCCAGCTGTTGCTTTCAGGTTCTGGCTCGGCAACATTTGGGTGTTTGAACTTAGAACGGCATTCTGCAGCAATGAAAGCAGAGCAACTTGCATTACGTAGCAACCCATCCGCGTGCAAGGCACTGCTGTGGTCAGTCGCCAGCCTCTTGGCCACCGACAGCATCTCCGTTTCCGCGCTGGCGGCGGCAGGTGAGATTCGCGGGGGATTTCGGCGGCTGAGCACGGCCAGCTTGGCCAATTTGGCGTGGGCGGTCGGCACCTTGAAGGTGGCGCCTGAGCTGCTGCTGGGCACCGGGGACGAGCTCCTGCACCTCCCTTTTGCTTCAGAAGAGATTTTGTAGTTTTCCCTTTTGGTCTTCAAGGGAATCTATCACTATTGGAAATACGTTCATTTTTCCCATGGGGCTGACTTCAGATGGAAGGAATCGAGCTTTGTGCCCTTCGGTGGCGGAGGCGTTGATCACCGTCACCTGGGCCCGGGCGCAGCTGGGAGCCGCGGGGCCGCGCGCCTCAGCGGCGCTGGAGGCCTTGCGGCGCCTGGGCCGGGCCCGGGATGAACCGCTCCCGTTGGACCCCCCGCCCCAGCCCACGGCCTTGACGCGCGGTGTGCAAGTAGGGCCCGAGCCAACGGCGGTGGAGCTGGAGAACTGCTTGGTGATTAGGAAGCCCAGCGGCTGGCAGATCTACGATGCTCGGCAGCTAGGTCCAAGGGCCATTGGCCGAGAAGCGTTTGTTTGGCGCGTTGTCTTTCGTGCTCGTCTTCCTCAGTTGCCCAAAGCCAACCTTTTCTTTTGACCTTTTGGTTTTCCCATTTTGGTCCATTTTTTAGTAGAGGTAATTCCTAAAAGGTTAACCTTAGGCTTTCCAACTCCTTTGGGCAAGTGAGCTTCCGTGGCTACCAGGACAGTCTAGAGCAGGGGCGGCCGGATCAGAGCCGTGGCAACCTCACCAGCTTCGTCCAGTCACTGAAACGACGGCCCATCCTCAAGGACTTTGCCTGCAAGTTGGGCTTCCTCCACCGTTTGGATGTACCCTGAGCTGCGCAAAGAACAATTCCCCACTTGGGCCATTGGTTAACCTTGATTCCCAGTTGTGGGAAAGGAGAGTCATCTTTGCCTTGCGTTATGAAAGGATTTGGTCGTTTTGGTGGCCCAGGGAGTTATGGATGGGAGACGAGGTTGCCCAGCCCGTCCTTGTTGGTGAAATCATCGATCGACCAAAATTGCCCGCCGCATTTTGGGACAGCAAGCACATGGTAGGCCATTCAGACCCGCAGAGGTTCGGAGAGGAATGTCTTGGATCAGAAACCCGATCCAGGGTTGTGGGATCAAGGGGGTTTATCCCACTTGGGAATCTCCCTCGGTATGTGCAGGGTTTGTGTTTGGGAAGCCCTTATTGTTGTATCACAGCAATGGTCATTTCCCACCCCGACCCGATCAGAAGGCATAGAACCCGATCGTCTCTTTTGGGGCGGCCGACTCGGTTGCCGGTCAAACTCCCAGGTCCCGAGCTCGGGTTTGATTTTGGTGGCCACCAGCTACAGCTCCTACTACCAGCTCCGCTGGCAGCTGGCTAGTGGAGAGATGGGCAGGGACTACCAGGTGCTTGGCGCCGCGGATGCATAGCTCCAAATAGGAATTGGTCCACCTCATGAAGGAAGCCAACCGTTTTCAGGAGTCCAGTTCCAATTGTGAGAAGTCTTTTTGCATGCCGCCCTCATGGGGTCACTTTCTCAGGGATAATGTTTTAACCGAAGGATGCTCTCAAACAAGACAGCCACTTTAAGCTGGGTGAACAGTGGACGATTTGTCGCCCTGGAGGGAGACAGAGCGTGACATGTCGCAGGGCTCATTCGTGCGCTTGAGACATCGAACCAGGAGGGTCATCCACACACGGCCAGCTCTTCTTTGCAAGTGCCCGTTTTCGGCTTGCCCCTTCTCAAGCTTATATCCGTGCACGGGTCTCATTTTCCAGTGTGGTTTGGAAGACGAACATCATCGGGCAAGCTCAAATTGGTGGCTTGGCGATTTGAACCTCTGGTTCTTGCTTTGGGTAAATGGGGTTTACCTCGCCGGACCACCTCCCAAAACGACCGGACCACCTCGGAAGCTGACCATAGGCCATGGGTGGCTCCGGAGCCGCAGCTGTTCCGCGCCTCTGCTGTGGCCCACCCGGGCGGACGAAGCCCGCGCCACGCGCACCCGGGTGCCGCGCGGGAGAAGCGGCTGGCCAGCGCTCACGAAGGTGACGGCTGAGCGGCACGGCCTCCACGAAGCCTGGCCAAAAGACCCAGTTGCCCAGCGGTGCCTTTTTTTTTCTTCTCCTTTTTTTAGGAAGGGTTCCCTCTAAACTCAACCAGTCACAAAACAGGATGCCCTTTTTTCCCCTGGCCACTGGGCATTTTAGAAGAAGTGCTCAGGTCTGGCAGAGCTTTGTGGCAGGTTTTGCTGGTGCGATCGGAGAATGAATTGGAATGACTAAAAGCAGAAGACCATCCCGGGTTTGGTGTCCTTCCCCAAACGGTTCGTTATTGTCAACACTTGGAGCGGTCATCCTACTGAGCACCAGCAAGAGCTTGATGAGGGGTTTTAGACAGTTCTTCGACTTCAGCCCTTGGACAAGGATGTTTATAATTTCCATTCTGCTGAGAAACATATCGCTATTTGTGCCAAACAGTGACTTTCCTTGTGGAGGTAATGTTTGTAGGGGAGGTGGGGGACTTTTTTGGATGCGGTGGGTTGTGGAAGTGATGGGCTTAAGCCCACTGTTGCCCTGACGGCAGGGGCTTGCTTCTGAACAAAGGCCAGCTTCTCGAAATCCGCTTTGAGAAGCACACAATTTGTGGCCCATGCGGGCGTTCTCTTGAGCTTTCATCCTTATGTCAAAAAAGGAGTCGTGCAGCACTTCTTACCTGAGAAGATCCACAAGAGAGTCATCACAACAAGACCCGATTGTTTTGTTGCTTTGGGTTCTTTTGACAAGGGCATCAGTTGCGAATCGCCTAGATCTTATTTGCAGATTCAAGCTGAATCGCTTGCAGATCCAGAAGACATGTGCTTTGTTTCTAAGGCGGTTTCCATGGACGCAAGATGTTGGGTTGGTCTCAGCAAGGGAGCCAGTGCAGCCTAGTGACTGGAGCCCCTGAGAGTCCAAGGATCCATTTCGCAGCGCCTGAAACCGCATGCCAGGGAGCTTCCAGCCCCCAGGTTTGGGAGGGGTAGCCATCAGACTTCACTGGCCATTTGAGGACGGCAGCGCCTTTACGCTGACAGCCATTCGAATTGGGACGGGACGAAGGCACCAGATCCGCGTTCACCTGGCGCACTGCGGTTTTCCCAGCGTGTCTGACGGCAAGTACTCCTCACATGCCACGTACCAAGAAGACCAGGCGTTCTGCCCTCGCAACTTGACTGCCATTAGGGTTGGATCTTTAGACTTTAACTTTTTGAGAAATACAGATATTTTCTACTAAGCCCCAAAAAAGTTAAGCTTTTGCAGTCAACAGCAACCAAGGCAACTTCTTGCACCGCCACCGCTTGAGCTTCACGCTGGGGGAGCGCAAGTGCGTGATTGAGCCTTTGCCGGATGATTTGGCACGGGCCCTGCAGACAATTCGAGTGATTAGGAGCCCAGAGGCTTCGCGGGAAAACATGCAAACTTAGTGGCTAGCAACCTTGACTGAAGGGACGTCAAGAACCATTGCCCACTAGGCACCACAGTGTGAGGCCAATTTTGCTGAAGAAATGAGGTTGTTAGAACAAACTCGGGTGTGGGGTCCTAACCTGAATGGCCTGGTCTCTCGTCGACACCCGGGCGGGCGGGGGGCCTCACGCCCTCGCGGTGTCATTGCAGGTTCACAGTCACGAGGGAAAATCCAGACAGCTATATGGTCATTTTTGAGTTCGGCAGCCGGCACGTGGGGCGCGATTCCAGAAAGTTCATGAGAAATGATCGAGTAATCAGCCTACTATGATGAGTTTTAGGTTTCGGAACATAGGGGGACGAGTCCACACTTCCCGAAGGAGCCACATATGTTGACCCTGGCCGCTGTTTGAAGTCGGCTCAAGGGACTAGTGCTGCTTGGTGCTATGGGGGAGGATGAGGACGAGAAGAAGAAGCTGCGCAGCTGCAAAATATGAAATTACAGCTGATTACAGGGGAATCCGTTTGAATGAAAGCAAAGGAGCAGGAATCCAGCCCTCCCCCCAGTTTCGTTGGCAAGGGGTTGGAGAAGTTCAGCAGACCTTTAGGCCAATCCTATTCGCGCGCACACGTAGGTACGATGTTCCGCTGATACGCCTGAAGGACTGTCAGAGTCAACTGGATACAGACGATTTGGACGAGGATGAGAAAAGGGCACTGGCGGAAGTGTCAAAGCAGCTTGCTTTAATTGGCCACGGGGTCACCCAGATGTCAAACAGAAAGGAAGCGGGAAGACGGGCAGTCATGAAGCGATTTCGCCTTGAATGCCTTGTCAAGATGATGTGGTTTCCCTTCCATGTGCCCAGAAAGCCGCCGCACGTAAGGAAAGGCTACTACCATGCCCGGCCGAAGACGCAAGAGGCCCCATCTCCTCAGCGAATCAGTCCTGAGGAAGCTGCAAAGGTGGGGGGATGTTGTCGCTTGACTGGTGAGGGTGGGTTGTCAGCTTCCACATCCATGTGGCGGGTGCAGCTAGGAACTGGCCCAGGCCACTTGATTTGCAGATGCGTTTCATGACGCTGGAAGTTGATTCCAGGCCCCCACGTGCCCCACGCTGCTTGTGCCTGTGCCTCCAGCATTTGATGCTGTTGCCCGGTGCAACTTACCACCGAACCGGGGTACCCAAAAGGGGCCCTCCCCCACCAAGGGAACATACCCCCCGTTTCGGGGCTGGGGATGTCCATGCAGCGGGGCAATTGGATGGAGCCATTGGAAAGGTGCAGCCGGTCTCCTTTCGAAAGCGAAACACCTTCGACACCTTTCAGAAGAAGTGGGAGAAGTTCGACAAAGAGGCGTCGGCCTTCTGCCGTTTCACCTCCAGTGAAGGCTTGAAGCCCATCTGCAACGTTTTTTCGAAGTCATACGCAGTGCTATGCAGTGCTATGCAGTGCTTGCACCAGCCGCAAACCTGGCCAACGAATTCCGGCCCAAGCCATTGCTAAGTTCACAGTTCGACCCTAAGCTAATGCCAGGCATGTTGGACCCTGCCTTCTGAGATTTTGGGTGAGAAACAGCTTTACCTGAATGACAAGGCCCAACCATCCCAACTGACTCGGCTAGGAGCCGGAGGTGCGGGTGGTCGAGGAGAAGAAGGAGGTTGAGAAGGAAACCGTGAAGTGGTCCTGTTGCAGGCGAAGGAAGTAGGCGTCTCCCCAAAGGGGTATGCGCAAAAAGAAACCTCAAGCCCCGCGGGTGCAAAACAGCGCGGACGGAGCATGGGGAGGGCAGCCGCTCGTTGTTTGCCCGGCTTTGCACCAAGGGTTGCTAGTGCAGCGTGTGACGAGTTTGGAGAGCCAGGTTGCCATGGTGACCACTGAGCCACTGATTAGTCGAAAAACTCATAAGTAGAACTGACGATTCGCTAAACGGTGGAGGTGACTTCGACTAGGCCCAGGGCTGCTTGCTGTGTGGGTCAGGGATGGTTCAGCTTCCGGTACCTGGAGCCACTATCGGCCACTCTTCCGCTGCGAGGACAACATCTAGAGAAAAGAAGGAGCCCGACAAAGAGAAGTACGGCCAGGACTATCTTCGGAGAGGCCTGGCATGGATGTTTAATATATTGTTTGGCTCCTTGAGCTTGTGTTCGCAAATTGTGCCTTGTGTCATGCAAAGTTTAGTGGTTGTCGCAGCCTGGGAGGGGCTCGATTCCGGAACTGTCTTGTTCCGATGTTATCAGGTTAATATCGGCTGCGGAGATGCTTGTGCCTTGCTTCACCGATTCATGCACTGTGCATGCTAAACCTTTGCGCCAGGAGTTGTCAGGATGACGCACCACCAGGGTTCCGACGGCCGGGACCTTAGAAGAAGACACATCGCATATGCAGGCAAATCTATTTGCCCGTCGTTAAGAGTGGTATGGCAAGTGTGAGTGTCACGCCCATCCCACAGCTTGCGTGTTGCCTGTCCGGTGCTTTTGTGTTCAGCGCGAAGGGCAGCGCGAAACCGCCAGCAGCGAATTTGCGTTCTTTGCTAAGTTACGCTGCGAAGCGAGAGGGACGAGCTGGTGGATTTGATCACAGCAGCTGGTGGTGGTAGCTTGCTCAGGGGCTGGAGGCGGGTGCAGGCTCTTGAATTTGCTTGGCCAATGCCCTGTGCCAGCATCTCGCACAAACCTTGCAGCGCATTATTATGCAGTCCGACTTGTTGTTTGTCAAGGTCTGGGACGGAACTAGTTGCCACTCTTCCTATGGTCTGACGCCAGCGGGGCTCACCGAGTCTCAACACACTGCCAGGACTGCTTTGGATCATGAAGGGGAGTTGCAGGTGGGGAGTGAGTGCGGGGCTGGCGGTCACACGTCCGTGGCTCTGATTGTTGCCAGCCGCTTGATGTCACCTTGTGCGTTGCTTTGCCCAGTTTGCAAGCGGCACATGCTGTGCGTTAAGGTGTTATTTGCTGGTTGCATGTAAAATCCGAGATGAGTCGTTTTGAAACGACGCGTTGGCGCTACCTTTCAGGGCCCCACGGCGTGCCTTGACAGGTCGATTACGACGACTTTTGCCGAGTGACAGGGCCGTGTGCTCAGCTTGCAGGCGTTAGAGGCAGGCGAGAGGCGAGCAGTTTTTGCGTGCACAAGCTTCCATTTGTTTAAGAGTAATATATTTGAGTTTCTGCGGTTGTGGTTTTACAGGACTTTTTTTGTTTCATTTTCTGGAGACATGCCACCCAAGTGGGCGCGGCTGTGCAGGGGTTCCTACCGTCCGTGTTTGGCCAGAGCAAGCCTTTCGGCAGCTGGAGACCGTCATATTCTCCTGATCGAGCCTCCTTTTCAGGAATAGACTAGGACGGAGAAGTGGCTACCATTTCGGGGTAGGTGCACCACCCATTTTAGTCTATTTTAGTGGGGATTGGTTGATGTTCACCGGGGGTACGATTTGGATTTTGACCCATGGCCAAGCCATGAGAATCCGAATCCCACCTGACCATCCGATATGATCTCTGCCTTTTGGGCCAGGGAGGTGAAGCCTTCCATCCGGTCCACACGAACCGATCGAGGCTCCCTTGAGGACAATGGTTTGGGACAGTCAGGTTCCATGATGGAGCTGTCTCAAACTTTTAAAGCGCGGGGGACCCACCAAAGCCTCAAAGAATGACGCGCTCATGGGAGGGCAAGGACTGGCGTTCATGTCAGTCTGAGGTCCTGGCGCTGGGTCGGGGACATCAACGCCCTTTTTGGCGGTGACGGCGCCGGGCGCTCAGGTCAAAACGCCGGTTCATACGATCGACGGGACAGGATCGGTGGTGGGGTACACAGGTTTCTCTGTCTCCAACTTGAGGTCCCCTACACCGACTACGGCTTGCAGTTACTCTCAAACCCGAAAGCGCCGTATATCCGGTTCCTCGAAAGAAGCCGTTAGATCACGCAGGGATTGGAACGCCTAGCTCTTGAAGGCAACTGGGGAATCACCCGGGAACACCTGCAACCGGTAACCACCGAAGCTCCAAGCCACAGTTTTGGGAGGGAAGGGCAGATGTTCAATGTTGACCCCATATTACTCAACCCCGGTTCAGGCTGGTCCCCTCCAAAAGTGGTCGGATTGCCCGAGAAGTTTCACGGAATCCGAGGGTCAACATTCTCAAACCGCCGGGCTGCTGAAACAACTGGCTGGTTGATTCACCTGGGGCCTCTGTCACTCGCGGCGTGAAACGGCCGGAAGGACCTGGACCACCTGCAACTCAGTGAGCTCGCTCCAAAGGAGGGCAGGGGGCCCCTGGCTTCTAGAGGTCTGCCAGCTGGGCGTATTTTTCCAAAGGTATTGGACTCCTAAAGATCCGTGGCTTCTGTTTGGGCGCTCTGGACACAACCCGTGCGTGCCTTTCACTTCTTTGAGCTTTAAAATAGGGAAAAGGAAGGTCTACCTGGAGAAACACCAAACCTGGAGCCCCTTTTGCGGCGTTGCAAGCTTGTGGAAACACCAAGTCTGTGTGAGGCTCTCCTTTTGCGGGGTGATATTTGAATGATATTTGCAGGTTGGACAAACTGGGAAGCCTGGCATGTGGTCAGGCATTGTGCTTGTCAAAGGGCACTGGTTTTGTTTTGTCAGACCCATGTCACATCGCTGAATGGATCAGATGGGGTGCGCAAGTTATGGGAGGTGACGAGGTCTGAGTCGCAGATGCGTCATGCAGCCGCATTCCATCAGGCAAGCTCATGAACAGTTTCATGCCGGGCACTTGGCTAGGGAACGGGGAAGTCGTGACTCGCATTTGGGGTGGGGTTCGAACAAGCTACCAATTCTTTAGGAACAAGAGCAATGGCTTGCTCACCAATCTCATGTTCACATCTGTTCAGATGTGAGAAAGCGACCCTTGATCATGGTTGTTGTTGGGAAACATTTTACATTTTTGTTTATTGTGGTTTAGTGGTTGGAATCCCCACTTAACTGCTTATATATATATATATGTATATATATATATATGTATATATATATATATATAAATATATTTGCTCCCCTGCCAACGTCGACCAAGTTGATGGAAAGCCACCCTCCCATGCCCAGCATGTGCCTTTGGCCTGGCAGCTTGGGACGGAGGTTTTGAGGTTTTGGGGGTCGACTCGTTGCGAGCGATGTGAATCACTGGCCCCGGGGTTCAGTCGCGATCGAGAGCGAGTTGAGGAAATGGATCAAAGAGGACTGCGTCGTCGCATGGATTTTTCGGCAGGTCAGGCCCGTCATTTGGGCAATCTCCCCTGCTTTTTTGTTAAGTCTATTTTTGTGGCGGAGTCGGAAGTGGGGCGCAGAGTTTCACTCAGTGACATTTTTTTGGATCCTTGAATTGTGGGAAAAGGCCAAAGTCGAGTGACTTGCTGAAGGTGCAGCGGCAGTTGGCGCCAGCTCCAGGAGTTTGGCTCTCCGTCGCAATTCTTCTCCGCGCTGGATGCCAACAAGAAGGGCCAGGCCCTTCGCGACAGGGTTTTTCGCCGCTCTTGGCGCCGCAAAGGCGCCTGAGATACTGTGCATGGACGGATTCCTTGAATTCCTTGAAGCCACTTTGAACCGAAGCGACAGCTTGTTGGAATTTGCGGGGGAATGAACATTCCAGGGTTTCTTAGGTGGTGCGGGATTTGCCCATCCACAGAATGTCAGGGTGAGTTCTAGCTCACTTGACGTCACGATACTTGAGGGGAGGATGGGCGGAAGAGCAGCATCCCTCAAGCCAGGAATTCCTTGCGAGCCGGCTGGTGGCTGGGTTGGCGATACGAATCTATTTGATTCTTGTGCGGTTGCCTCTGCGACCGTAAAGGATGCACAGGCCGAGTTTGCGTTAGAACTTTCGCATGCATACATATATATATATATATATATACGTATATATATATATATATTTATATGTAACTAATTATGCGTGTGTCGTTGTACATATACATGTTCATTTTCCTTAGTTGCTGCAGTTTTGAAATCAGTTGGCCCTTTTGAGCTTGTTCTTTTAGTGCTTGGCAAGGGGGTCGGCTTCTGCCTTGTCCGGGCTGGACTGGTTTGCCATCCGTTGCCAGCTTCCAGACCGCCATTTCTCGTATAGCTTGCCCTTCTCTGGCTGCCTTTGAGTATCTGTTCCATGTAAGTTGACCGTTTTGTTGCCTCTTAATGGTTTAATTCGTTGGGTCACCGTCCAAACTCGGGGACCCTTTCGGTTCTGGGCTGTGCAGCAGGTGGCGCGGCACACCTTCGTGTCCTTTTGCGTGAACCGCAGCTTGAAGGCGATCCGGTCTTTGTCGCAACAGGTCTTTGCATTGCGAGAACGAAGGCTCCCACTTTGGTTGGGACTCCGGCATTTTTATGAAAGAGGCTGAAAGGCCGTTGAATCAACTTGGCCGGGTGAGCTTGCGTCTGGGCGAACTTAAGTTACGACTTGCATCAGATGTGTACCTTGGTTCAGGCAGCTGAGTCAGACATCAACCGAGTGTTCGATTGCATTGACACCGGCCGCTGCCTTAGTTGAAGCTTCGGCCTCGTGGATAGGGGAAGCTCCTATCCGGCGACTTTTTCTGCGTGTGCACATGTGTTTGTGTTCCATTGTTTTTTTGGCGCGCCGAGAACGCATATCCTTACCTGGTTTGTTTTACGAAGACTTACGGGAAAGAGCAAAACCACAGGGATGTGAGAACATGCTTGCATAGCTACGGATCGAGCTTCCAAGTCTCAGGAGATATCGGCTCCATTTTGAAGGAGGAGATGCGGTGCGTGCTGCTGTGGGTGGATTTTGAAAGTGCATGTGCATATGGTCTGTCTCAATACAGGGGTCCTCTTTTTGCATGGGTATGATGAATTTGAATGGCCCCATTGGTTTACTGAGGCCAAACACCATTTTGCGGGCCGAAGAAGTGATCGAGACATAGAGAGATTCGAGTCCAATCCTCCAATCCGAGTCAAGTCGTAACAGCCAATCCACTTTTGAAGTCGTAACAGCCAATCCATCTTGGTCAAGTCCAATCCACCATCCAATCCACTTTTGAAGCCAAGAGGATTGCATCTTTTTAGAGCTGGACCCAGCGACGCGATATGAGGAGCCGGGGGGCCCGGCTCAAGGCTCAAGCGAGCACCGTCGCGCCGTCACTTTGCGTCGCTGCCCACTTCCGAGTCGGAAAGGGGTGTGAAGCCTCAAAGCAGTGGCTCGCCGTTGTTGGGGGGACCGTGGGGACCAACCAATGGTCGTTGTTTGGCTTCCTTTGAAAACTAAAACCAAGAAACATGTGATTACGGGATGAAGAATCAGGCTCAAAATGCCTTGTGCTAGGCCTGGCCAGGTGGCCAGTTGGCCAGGTTTGAGCGGGGAAGTTGGCCTGGGTTTTCCTTCAGCTGGTCTAAGGTGCCCCGACGCCTTGGAAATCCGACTCTGGGTTTCCCCCGATTTTTCAAGCCTCAGGCGATCGCATCGATCTTCTTTTTTTTTGCCAAGGCGACAACGCGGGGGCGTCGTCCAGGCGGGTATTCTCATGTCCCATTCGGGTGCGCCTTTCTGGATTCACTCTTTCTCGGGTTTTGTGGATGGAAACCTTTTGTTTTTTGTACCGCTCAAAACTTATCCTGATTTACAGAAGTGTACCTCTGACGTTTGCAGGATGTGCCGAGTGTACCTGACCATGACCCGAGCAGCTGAAGATACACAACATGTCTGGTCAAATTGGCGTTTCCTCCTTTTGGATGTTCCTCAAATTGAGGCCAACAGGTGCCCGATTTCTCCTTCATATCTTTTGCTTGTCCTTTGACCCCCGGAGCCGTTCAGGAATGGAAGGACAAAGCAGCAATGGAGTTTCTGCAGAACGTCCGGGTGCTCTGCGAACATCCCCACCCCCAAAATGATCAGTTCATGAACAGGGCATGCTCCCAATTGGTTGGCTCCATTTGGTGTGCCTTCAAACCAACCCAGTCAAATTTGGGCGGGGAAGCCGCTCGCTTGATCGCGAGCATGTGCCCACGGTTTAGGCGAAGACTGGAATCCGGGGCCTGCCGGGTGACAGCAGCCAGCTTCTGAGCGGGAGTCGGCCACTCTCCGGGCCGAGTTTTCGGGTTGCGGCTGGATGGACACAATAGGACCCCATGATGGTTAATTGGGGGCGTGCTTTGACTCTGTCATGTGCGAACATCATACGCATCCAAAGTCGGCATTCTGAGATTGGCCTGGTTTCAAGAAGAGACATGTCCCAGGGTCTTGTTCTGGGCTGAGTCTGCCACAATCCACCGTCCAGGTTGCGCCTTGCACGAACGGCACCGCCTAGCTCCTCGCCCCTGGCAGGCGTGGTGAGCGGGGAAGCTAGCCTAGTAGGGCAGTCTCAACCTGGAACCCTGCCAACAACTAGTGCTTCTCCATTGGGTTCCAAAGGGTACCCCAGTAGTGCCCTTTTACCCTTTCTTGGGGGAGGGTTGGTTCCCCCTACTAAAATAGACTACAGACAAAAGTTGGTACCCTTATTCTAACCTCTTTGGAGGACCTAGGAAAAATCAGAGCGGTAGACGGCGACTTTGGCCAGTCCAGTGGGCCTCTGCCTGGTTTGGCACCCGGGCGCTCGACTGGTCTTGTTTGCTGTGTTCTTTTTGGTGGTGTTTTTTTTGTTGCTGTTTTTTGTTTGTCTTTCTTTTTTGTGACTGACCACCTAGGGTGGCATGGAGCGGAAGCATAGTTGTTGGATAGGTCCACTTGGCTTGGCTTCCGATTGAGCATCTGAGGCTGAAATTATTGTTCCGCTTGAGATTCGGGCTGCAGTGCTTCGTCAGGCCGGCGCTTTTGAGCAGATCCCCATGGTGGTCTGCCAACGACGCCTGGCGCTTGGCTTTCTCGCTTATTCAACAAACGGAACATGCACCGACCCCAGCCCCGCAGCAGGTGGCATGACTTTTCCCGTTCATGCCTGGTGATCAGTTACGGGTCGCCCAGTTGGCTGAGTTGGCTGAGTTGCTGAAGGCCAAGCTGTTTTGTCAATGGGTTCCTTCCCAGCGACTTGCGAGATCAATGTTGCCTGATGCTTGAGGCCAAGAGAGGGAGAGGGAAGCTCGCTTCAAGCTGAAGTTTGCGTGTGGCGCCTCAGTCGGGGAGTTGGCGTGTTTTCTTGGGCGCTTGGACCCATATTTGCAAAAAAAAAAACAAAAACAGCACAGGCGAGTGGTACTGGCGGCCTCGATGGGCCCGGCTGTTCAGGCGGGCCACCTTCCTGAGACAGCTGCGGACTGCCTATGGCAACGAGGCAGGGAGACGTTCCCAGCATTCCAGTGCCCAGCGGTTTGTTTTTTGTTTCTTCTTCTTTTTCTGTCTTTCATTCCTTTTTTCTTTTGTTCTTTCTTTTGTCTTGCCTTTCCTTCCTGCTGTTTGATTTGATTTTGTATTTCCGTCTGTTTCATCTCTTTTATTTTCATGAGCCACCAGTGTCCCTATTCATTGTTTCCCGCTGCCTTCTTTCAATCCAGCCCTTCCCCCGTGCACATGCGTGCGCTTGACAAATCTAGCCGTGTCAAACTGGACTGAAGTTTTTGTTTGTCTTGTTTGCACCCCTTGGTTTCACATGTCATTTTTTGTTTGCGTGTTCTCCTTGCTGATGGACGTTCTTGAATGGGGCAAAGATGTCTCAACATGCTTAAGGCGCATTGGGTCTCTGTTTATTTTTAGACTACAGTCCTTTGGTTTGAGAGTCATGCTCCACGCTGGGTTTTGTCTGCCGCTGCATCGGTAGGTTCGAGGACTTCGCCGAGATGTCAACCCGGACGGTCCGGAGCCCGGCGTTGAGAGCGAGCCGAGGAGAAGGTTCCGTTGAACGGGACCGGCCAAATGGTATCAGATGGTTGTGATTCCTGGCTGCGAGTTCTCTTGCTAGACGGCGTGCTGTGAGACATCGCAAGGTGCTGCACAGTAGTGTCAGCAAGTGCTTTGTAACCTTTTCTGTTCTGTTATGCCAGTGGCCAGGCTTGCGAAGGAAAAAGATGGACTTGATCTCCAGGGTCGTCGGTTTGCTTTGGATTCATTCGCTGACCAAGGCCACACAGCCACATTGTCACTGGCTCGGTTTGGGAAGGGATGGCTCAACACAGCGCTATTTGCCCGTTGCTGCTTTGCCAACTGGCTGTTGCCGTTTGTCTTGGCCAGCCATTTTTTGCCTTGGGGGTGTTTGCCTATCCACGGGAATGAGAGGGCATTGACATGAGGCGTGACATCCGGCGATATTGCCGACAGGCGTGGGGCCAATGGCACGTTTGAGGTTTGTCAGAAGCTGCCCCAGAAGGTTTACGAGGGATGGATACGAGACCACACTCATGGCGGTGGCTTTTGCCATCCCCATCCGCTGTTGTCATTGTTTTTCTTTTTTCGGGGGGATTTTCATGAGAGTGGGGTCAACAGCAGGCTCACTCGCGCGTACACGAAAGGTACGGAAGACTGGTCCACCTCCAATTCCAAGAATGAATCCATTCAGAATGAATCTAAGTTCTGCCTAAGCCAAGTTGCTGCTTTTTTCAGTCACTGTTGCTGGTTTTTGGGGTAAAGTGCATGGAAAAAGAAAAAAAACAGCCACTGGCGATCCAGGGGAGTCTGGGGGTCTTGGTGCGACGTGAGCATGGCCTCGGATCTTTGGGCGAGGTGGATCTGCCGGTGCACATCTCGGACCTTTGGGGCAGCCTGGATGCTGACGGGGATGGCCGCGTTCGCATGGAGGCGACTGAGCTGGCGGGCCTTGGGGTGGGCTGGGCGCAGAGGGGGAACGTCGACCCCAAAATAATAGGCCCTGTGTATTCATTAAAATGGGGCGTGTCCCTGGGTTTAGTGGGGAAACATCACTTTTGGAGGGGAGAACCCCCCCCTACAAATGAACTGGGGGTGATGAATATGGGGTCAACATTCAGGTCCTGCAGAGGGGACTTCTGAGCATGGCGCCATGCGCCTGTTTTGGCCATTCCCCCAAGACACTGGGTGCCCTATTGGCATGTAGAATGCCACCTGCTTTGCCTGGCTGGCTTGGCATTTTCCCAATGTTTTGCGAATCCTTCTGAGGGCTCAAACTCGCACTTTTCGGAGTAGAAAACGATAGCTCATGCAGAATGCCGAGATAAAATGAGAGCAACATTGGCAATAGGTATCCAGGCAGGGAAAAAGATGGGTTTTATGTTCTTGTATTTGAGGTTCCCCTGGTACAAAGGAAAACACAAAACAGAAACGAAAACGAAGAAGCTCCGCGGGTTAACACAAACCCTGCCCAGGAGCTGTGCTCCCAGCGGGCGGAAGCCCTGGCTAAGTTCAAGGCACGGGGCTCCCCGGCACCGGCGATCACGTTGCCCGAAGCGAATCGACCTTTTCTCCTTTTGGCTTTCCCATTTTGGCAACCCTTTTTTAGTAGAGGTATCCAATAGGTTAACCGCTTATTTCCAACTACAGACCTATATAGAGGCTTCTCTTTGTTTGGAATGCTTCTGACTTTCGTGAATTATCACAGCCAAAAGCCACTCTCAAGTTGCATCAGCAGAGCACCGATTTGTCGATTTTGCCGAGGGCTTCGGGCTTCGGGCCAGTGGGTGAGACAAACCCCCACATTATTGCACTTGGGTTTGATGGCTTTAAAAGGAAGCCAAAAGGAAAAACAATCATTTTAGGGGGTCCCCTAAAAAAAGAAGTGGTTTCCACTGGCGGAAGGTCACGCACATGGGCATGTGACGGTATGCGTCAAAAGACACCAAAATGGCTGGGGGGTTCCTCTTGCCCTGCCCTTTAACAAGGTGCAAAGGGTACCCTCAACAATACGCATGCATACACAAATCTGAGGGGCTTCGCATGATTGGCCCTTCCTCTCGAGCCTGCTCGTCTCGAAAATCACAGCATTGCCCCTTTGCTTCTCGGAGCAGAACGTCAAGCCATGCCACATCACTGCGCGCCTGGCCTTTGCGGAAGGGCAGGCCCAGCGCCTTTTACAGCTTCTAGCAGGACCTATTGAATCTGAATAAATTCAACCACCTGGAGTCTCCATGACCCTTTAAAAATGGGTCCATGGCCCCATTATTTTGGGCACTGACCCCATTTTTAAAGGGTCATGGAGACTCCAGGCACCCAAGCCCCACGCAACATGTGCCGTGGGCTTTCGGCCATCGGCTTTCGGGCCGTCGGCTTTCGGCTCGCCTTCAGGAATGGGCGCGCGAACGATTTGGCCGAGCCACTGGGATCTGGGAATCCCCAGAGGCGCATCCGGCATCACTTCCACGGACATCGGCCTGTCTCAAACGGGGGGAGCCCTCCAAAATGGCTGAATGCCTTTTTTGGGCAGCTGTTGTGCGCAGAAACTCGGGTTGCCCCTTAAGACATCTTAAAACGCCATGCCATTGTGCCAAAGATCAAGCCTTCCGCGTGAGTGGGCTGAGTTCGGGCCGGGTTTGTCGCCTTTCGGCTTGGCTTCGGAGGGTAGCATCGCACTTCTGAAGAACTGCGGTAACTAGATACAATGTTGTTGGTTCTCGGGTTCCAATATGGCTGTGGGTAAAATAAATGTACCAAAATGGCAGCTTGGAAGTGGAAACAAAGACCAACACCTGCGCACTGGCTCTTTTATTTTGAGCCACACCTATATGTGAATGGCCGTGGGGAGCCACAACATCAACACAGGCCGCCCCCCCCCCCCGTCCCGCCCAGTCAGCCGAAAGCGCAGGCCATCCGCGCCCGCGCGAAGCGACGGGGCCAGGGATCTTGGGTCTCCGAGTCCAAGATGCGCCTCGGCAAATCGGGCGCGGAGTCCATGGGGCCAACTGCCTGAAGTTTGGGAGACATGTGGCGAATGTGAGGTTTGGAGCTTGATCTGGCTACTCCAATCCGCAGAGAGAGTCAAAGAGAGAGAGAGAGAAGAAAAAAAAGGGTCAGCAACAAGAAAGAGCATTGCAGAGAGTTTGTTTTTGCCGACGGGTCCGCATTGCATTCAGCCGTTTCCCTGTGTTGATGTTAGGTTTGTAAAAAAGGGTGCCTTCGAGAAAAGACACTCCTGGGCTCGGGCACATGCAGCGGCTGCTAGCTTTGCCAATGGCGTCGCGCGGGTTTCTCGGGGCGCATGCGAAGGCTTTTCATTCATACAAGCACCGTTCTGCTTCGAGCAGTGTTGAGTGCCGGGCCTGGGCCTGCTTGTGTTGAACCATCAACCTGCAGTGCACATTTCTGGCTGAATGTGGGACCCCCTTTGGTTCGTTTTTCAAGGGAAACCAAAGGGACATTTTATCCATTTTCGGAGACCCCCATCTTGAGAAGCACCAAGGTGTTTTTGGGCAAGATTGCAGCCGCTGTTGCTCAGATCGATTTTTTGTCGGGAAGTTTGATAGCATCTCTGTGTCAAAGTTGCCCGTTGGACCAAGCCAATCCAAAGGCACGCTGTCTCACATTTGGGTCTGTTTTTTTGAGGGTACACCTGTCATTGCGGTCTGAAAGGGAAGACAAAGCGAAAACCACTAGTTTGGGTTTACAGACTAGTCTTTTGGGTAAGTTGCTGCTACGTCCCTCTATGCTCAACTAGACTGGGCACAGTCTATCTCTGAGTGCGCTTGGCCCAGAGTATCGTAGGACAGGCCTTTTCATTTTGCAGAGTGTGCAGTAGGAGGTAAAGCACTCCGTGGTTTGATCAAACTTCGGCTGCATGTTGCTGGCTCCCCGCCATCCAGGTTTAGTTAACCCACTAGTGAGATAGGTGGACTCCGTGGACCCGATCTTGATGTGCCCAGGTCCACCAGATTTAGATAGGACCACTATGAACCAGGTTTCTTTCAAGCATGGCCCCCCCCCCAATCCTATGAAATTGGACCTGTGATGATTCAAGTCTCTTCCTTTCATGGCTGCCTTTATCTACGAGTTCACCACCTCTCCCTTCCTCTCCGAAGCGCCTGGCGCAGCTAGGCTGGTGGCCGCCTTTGCTGAGGCCGTGCTCAGGGGAGGGGGTGGAGACACCAGAAAACGGGCTGTTCCAACCGAAGAAAAAACATGTGTTTTTCTGCAAAAATAATTGTGATGAAATGGGCCCCTGTTTGTGACCAGCTGCTGTTTATATCAACAACAAAGCGGATGGATGCTTCCTGCGTCATGCAGCGACAAACAATTCCACCTCAAGGCCCTTGGCTGCTGCCGGTTGGCGAGAGCGCGGTCTCCCAAAACAGCGACCCAGAGAAACTCGGGCTACAGGCTCTCAGGGAGCTGGGCTGGCCTGGTGTGCACCACCCAGAGGACGGATCGGTGGGACGTGGCATGTTGGGGAGCGTCCATGACCATGGGAAATCTAGCAAATTTCCTGCAGTGGTTGACCTTGCGCCGGAAAAGGCCTCATGCCCTTCAGCGTGCTATGCGTCAAGCAAAGTCAAGCGTGTTGTGAGGTTGCGCGGAAGAAAACACTCACCAGCTGCTTTGCTCTAGATGCTAGGTTTGCCGAGGCCAGTTTCTAGTCCCAAGACCCTTCGAGCAGCTCAACAATAGCATGGTGTCTTGCATGTTTGTTAGCGGCAAGAGGCGGACCTGTCTCCACACAGCACATCCGGCCAGAAACATATTTGAATCGCTGCGCTGACGCCGATTAAGGCCGTCATCGTTGCCAGAGCATGAGCAACAAGCTGTGGGAGATCAGCCTCCTGTTTTGTGCCTGTTTTTGTTGCACCAAGCTGGGCGATTTGCATGATGTCACTGTGCGTGTTGGACCCGTTACCTCGGACCCGTTATCCAGGTCTAGGAAAGCTTCCACTATCCCCAATCCATTACCCCCACATACATAGATCATTGTTCTTTGGGGCCGGGTGCCCAGCTCCACGTTCAGGAGCGCGCCTTTGTGTTTACCTCATTGGACTCAATGGGCTGCAGCCTGATCACAGTAGAGGACCTGGACTGGTTGGATAGGCCAGGATCCGGGTCTCCAAGGGATTGGTTCTACTGGCTGGTGCTCGGCCGGTAGGGAATGACCGAGTCAGGGTTGGGAATGAACCGGAACTCGGGATTCCCGAATAAAGGAAACCATAGGATGGATGGTTTTCTTCGGGGTCATTCCAACTCATTCACTGCTGAGAATCAGCAAGTCTATGATGCCCTGGCATTGCACCCTTTTAAAACATCACCACATTCCAGGCAATGCCCAGATCAAACCCGTCTCTGTGGGGTTTCCCCACGGTACAACAGAAGAACCCTTAGATTAAAGGATGCGCTGTCCTCCAACATATGTACACATATGTATATATAGACATGATAATAATAGATGCGTAATTGGGGAGTGATTGGATGTAGTGCATCTTCTTTCGCCTTATGTCTTCCATATTTCTCATGTACAACGCAATGCTGTTAGGCCCGTGCGGTGGCTGTGTGAGCACGGATTAATTCCCAATCACAGCCTTGACGAAGAGAAGTATGAATCCCCCGACAAGTGGCTTGAAGAGGCTCTAGCGTCATTAATTGGCTTCTTTTCAGGGCTTACTTTCCCAAGGTTGGCCAAAGAAAACAAGAAAGATGATTAATACACTGGGGACAGCTCGGGAAGAGAGGTATGACATTCAGATCTCAACCTACAGCATTTCCAGGAGATAGACATGTGCCGCCGTAACAAAGAGAGATTATTCACTCCTCCAAAACCCCAGATTTAATGCTGGACATGTTCATGCTTCTCTAGCTTTTGCCGTCACTATTCTCCATCATCATCATCATTCTAAAGTTGTCTTCATTCAAGTGTCAATGATTCATATATGAAAGAAGCATGAGGACAGAGAATTATCTCTCAGAGTCCTATCTTGGTCACACCTGGGTTTGGGGTAATTCCCTGTCCACCCTTATCCCGTCCTTCACTCATACCCCACTATTCGGAGATGGAACCATTTGGAGGATATTTTTTACTTACCTACAATTGGTTTCTTTGTAAGGTTTCTCTTTACCACACGCAGATTTCTCTTTACAACGAGCGGATGTCACATCCGCAAAGTGAAGTGAGATAAGGAAAGGATACGATTGAAATGCTGCTGCAAAGAGACTGTGGATAACATCTCCAAATCTAGAATGCTGGGTAAAAAGCAATCCCAGAAGGCTCCCAGACGGCCACCCATGGAACCAAGTCTTCCAAGCGTGTATGTATGTGTATCAAGTATATGTATATAAGGTATGTATGTATGTGTGTTGGTGTGTGGGTGTTTGATGCTTTGATTGGCTGGTTGGCTGGCTGCCAGCTTGGCCGTGGTTGTGTTTGCTTGTATTTGCTGTGTTCTTCATTTATGTCTTGCTCTTTTATGGTATTTGTTTTGCTCATTAACTCATGATGTTGCTATTTCAATGCGAAAGGTATTTCTTTCGCAAGCTATTTCCTTGTGTTTGGTTGTTGTTCCTTGTTTCCGTCTCTTTGATTTGTTTGTTGATTTTATTTTTACGTGTATTTGTTATTGTATATTTTCTTATTTCTTTACGTAGTTATGTGTATTTCCGTCTCTGTTTCTGTTTTTTTTTTTCCCCCCGGTATTTGGTGTTGTTTGTTTGTCTTGGTTTCTGTCTATCCTGCGCTTCTTCTATGTTGTGTGAATTTGCTTACTTATCTGCTCTTCTTTATTTTGCTGCTTCTTCGCTTGTGCTTGTGTTTGCCCCGGACAATTGGAACAGGCTTCACACTTGACTCTTTTTTTAGGGTCCAACGTTCTAATACTTTTGGTAGCCCTGACAACTATGTCCCCAATACATATGCTAGTAAATACGTTGAATCCCGGTAGATACATGGAAGTTTCTCCAAATACAAACGCCCTTTGGTGGCTCTCAGGGATGCCTTCCTCCCAAGTTTTCTCCGTTTTCCCCCTTTCTTTGGTGGCTTTCTGTCATCCTCCCGGATGTTTCCCCCCTTTTTGGGTGGCCGGAGGCTTTATTCGTGGGGATTTCTCCGGGGTCTCTAGGGGTTGATTCCTTGTCCGTTCTTTTCAACCATCGTTCTTTTCAAAAAACCGATTGCTGTTTCTTTAGGGTTTTGGGTGGTTTTCTAGAAAGATTCGGATGCCTGGAAAGAATGGAATGGAAGTTACCCCTAGGTCCCTTGGGTTTCTGATGATTTGTTCCTAAGGAGACTTAAGTTGATTGTCTGACATGCATCCTTTAAGGCACCCTGTTGGGGGGTTTTCCCAAAAGTGGTCTGAATCCCCACGAAAATTTGGACAATTTCCGATGAAGATCAACCAGAAGTTTCTTCATGCAGGGTTTACATTACCCCCCCTTGGCTTTGAACCAGCCTCAACAGGGTACCCCTGGAGGGTCGGCCACTGGGCCAGGTGGCAGCCTTCGGAGTTCCTGGCTGCGGACCCGAAGCCGGAGGCCTGGGTGGAGCTCAAGGACCGGACAGACAAATCCACGTGGAGAGCCCCGTTTCCCCCCTCCCCCCCCCCCGAGAACAGAAAATTAAAACCGGAATATCGAAAGAAAGAAAGAAAGAAAGAAAGAAAGAAAGAAAGAAAGAAAGAAAAGGAAAGAAAGAAATGAATAAAGAAAATCACAGAAAGAAAGAAAGAACATAAATAGATAAAGAATAGGAAAGAAAGAAAGAACAAAGACAGAAAAACAGAAATAAATAATGAATGAAATAAATAAAGAAGTAAATAATGAATGAAAGAAATAACGCAGGAGCAAAGACCAAACTTGGAGTTCGGATTGATGGACCTCCTGAACCCCATGCTGTGGGATTTTGGAAAGGTGTCAAAACGGGGCACCCAATGTAGGTGACACGAGTCTCAGACATGAACGCCTTATGGTCAATCGCCACCTCGGAGGGACTTCCATCCCTCATCTGCCGATTCACGGATGACTTGCCGCCCGTATGAATCAGGTCCGCGAGAAAGCCTGTTTCACTCATGGCCCTTTTTTTTCCATGGGAAACCCTGGGCTAGGAGTTGCTGGTAAAGACCTACCAGCACCCGCTGCGAGCCTGGCGAATGCTGGACAGGCTGGACTCAGTGTGAGTGGACAAGGTCCAAATGATTCAGACGACTGCTCATTGGCGGCACGCTATTTGCCAGAGATGCTTGCTTGCCTTTGTTTTATCTTGTTTTGTCTCCTCATCCTCCTTTGCGCACACAAGAGGAGTGGGTTAGACGCCCTTGGTCTGATGAAAGCACGTTGTGACACAGAGTGGACGTTTCTCATGGCAGGGACAGCTCCAACCGCATTGCCTGGACGGAGTTCCGAGATGTATGCAAGAAGGCTGGGCCTGGCTTTGAGACCGGGTATTGGTGAGGTTCCAGGGAGCCGCTGCCGTTGGCCTTCTGCAAAGGGTATCTCTTTGTTAGAGAGCAGGGGCTTGGCTTGAAGTAATGACCCCTTGCCCCGCGAGAAGAATTCAATTGGGACAAGCTAAACTGGCAGAATGGGGACAGGACATTGTGGGCTTGTGGCTTGAGATCCTGGTGCAACGGCAGGGATATTTATTTGGGATCGTACGTGCTGACAGGACTCCTGGGGTCTGACGCAGCTGCGTGCACATGCTTTGTGGTTGCTCTCATGGGTGTGTTTGGGGTTCTGGCATTGCTGTTGTTTTCTTTCTTCATGTTTGTGTGCGTTCCCTGTGTGTGCTTGTGCGTGTGTGTAACGGCGGGGGTTGCGAGGGTTGGATTGCGCATGCGGACGCAGGGCAGGACTCTGGCAGTGTGGCAAACC